TGAGAGCTGCTCAAGAGTAAAAATTAAAACTGTTCTTTACAGATTTGGGCAAAGAAAACTAAACAACCCACCGGCTGAATGAGCTCTGCTCCTCCAACAACAGCTGCTCCGTTCTCCTTAGCAACTTGAGCCTGACCAGAATCCTGCAGAAACAGACAAGAGAGACATTTTAGAAAATCAATCAGAGCTCATTTCTTTAGGTGGTTAACATGTTTGTGCAATTTATATAAAATATCAGCCACAAGTCAAATCCAACAACAATTCAGATGTGCTGTTTGTGCACATCTGAATCCTGCTTCCAGAAAATGTAAACTATTAATCATTAGCAGGTATGAATGCCTGTTAAAAAAAAAAAAGTTGAAGCAAAGCTCTAGAAGACACAGAAGACAACGAGGGCCAAAAAAATTCACAATTTAAAAAAAAAATCAGAATTCAGACTTCAAAATTCTGAGAAAAAAAATCCTAATTCTGAAAAAGTCTAAATTCTGATATTAAAGTCAGAAATTTTAATTCTCTGGGGAAAAAAAGCAATAATTATGAGAAAAAAGAATATAAATTTGAAAAAAACAAACAAACACCGGAATTGTGAAATTGATGTAAACATTCTGAGAAAAAATCCCAATTCTGAAAAAGTTATAATTCAGTCAATTCTGAGAAACGAATCACAATTTATCAAAAATTTAAAGAAAAAAAATTTGAGAGAAAAAAGTAAAAAATTGGATGCTAATGTCATGATTTGTGATTAAAATCAGAATTTTCAGGAAAAAAGTCAAATTCTGAGATTAAATTTGATGTTAAAAGCACAATTTTTCGATTAAAGTCAGCATTCTGAGGGAGAAAAAACTTTTTTCTCAGTGTCCCTAATCTTCCTCTATAAGAAAAAGCATCAAAGTCATTAAAGTTTTTACCTCAGTGAAAACCAAAACTTTGTTCATCTCTGTCTTGAAGGGATGCGGTAGATGCACGGTGCTGACGAAGGGGTCGACTTTTTTCTGTGAGGAGAGACAAAAGAAGAAAACATTGTTTAGTTGTTCTGAGCAGTCAGCACGCTGCAGGAAGGTAAAAGATAGAGGATAAATGGAAGGGAAGGTGGCAGAAATTAAACCTTCATATCTCCAGAGTGATTCATTATGTATGGGAACATTAGATCTGTGGAAATGGATGAGAGGAAGCGGGTCTCCGCGGACCGGAGGAAACAAACTTCTGAGCGTTTCCAGCCACCGCACCGCTCCGCAGTGATTGATGCGTCGTCTGCACGACTCAGATCAGCACCAGTCAAGTGCAACAGTATTACAACTGGCTCAAAGTCATATCAAAACGGGAGACCGTGCAGTGGTTAAAGTTGAAAGGAATATTTATTAACAAAAACAACAATGGATATTGAACGTCAGTATCAGTGGTGTGAGGCAAAAGCGTGGATGTGGTGCATATGGAAGTGTTGAAGTGCAAAAACAAAGACAAAACTCAAATGTGCAAAAGGAGGGAAGCTGAGGCCTGGCAACAGAACCACAAGCGTCAAATTGTTATTGTTCATTCTAATAACATTATGATTTCATTCTGGTAATATTAAAACTTTATTTGTACCACTGTATTCTTGTAATATTATACATTTATTCTCATGAAAAAAAAATCTCAGATTTTTTCTCTTCTAATGAATTAATTAACATCTTGGAAAACGTCTCGATGTGCTGTTGGTGTGATGTTCGCTCCCTGATTGGATGGACCGCTACCTTTTTCTCCAGCTTCATGTCCAGCTTCAGGTCGATGTAGACGGGCTGATCGGCGGGCGTAAAGTCCAGTTTCTGGAACCTCTTCAGCATGTCGATGCTGTCGGCGGCGCTGTGGGTGACTCTGGCATAGAACCGCTTAACGTAGACGTCATCCACAGGGACCCAGGCGGTTTTCCCATAAGGCTTGGGCCTGTCTTTGTCATCGATGACTGGCTTCTCTTTCTTCTCCTTCTTCTTCTCCTCCTTTTTGTCCTTCTTCAGGGCCCTGCCGGTCGACAAGTACGACGAAAGGTTAGGACGATTGTACACAAAGAAAAAAAAAGAAGAGTAAACTTCTGCCAAGAAAAAGTCAGAAATTCTGGATTTTTCAACCTCGAAACTTTCCAGGATTTTGTCTAAAAAGTACATTTGAAAAGTTGAAAATTTGCAAGAAAACAATTCTAAATTTTGAGATTAATCACAGAAATTTTCTAAAAAAAATACACTAATTTCTTACCTCCCAAAGTAAATGATTTTTGAGAAAAAAATCTGAAATTTTGATATTAACCTCATGCAAATTCTGGAAATAAACTAAGAAATTTTTGAATTTCAAATGTCTTTTTTTCTCCACTTTTCAAATTCAAAAATTTCCATTTTCTCTAGAAGTCTGAGATTAATCTAGACACTTCTCATTTTTTCTCACAATTTTTTTTACTTTTCGATCTTTTTCAATTTCTTAATCTCAAAATTTCTAAGTTTTTTTAATAAAAATGTTTTACTTTTCCTACTCAGAAATTTTCACGATTTTCTATTAAATTTTCTCAAAGCGTCTGAGTTGTTTGGTGGAAGTTTACTTCTTTTTTCAATTTTTTTTAATTCTAAATCTCCCGATACGCCATCATAGACAGGAGGGATTTGAAACCCAGCAGGACGAAGCTGAGGTTTCACACTAGGGATGCTAACTCACCTGACAGCTGCATAGGTCCGGATGGGTAGAGTCCTCGGTGCCGCCTGTGACACGGCTGAGTACGAGGGACCGCAGGCGCTCAGCAGCTGCTTCTGACATCCTGACAAAACTGAGCAAGAGAGAAAAACATAAAACAGGTGAAGCAGAACGTGTTTCATCCTGATTTAATCTAATTCAATTCCTTGTTAAGGTACTGACTTGGTCTGTACCACACTAACTCTCACTAGTTTGCATCAGCAACAGTATTGCTGTTTTTTTTTTTTTACAAATATGTTTTGATAATCTCCTGTGCCGACATTAAAATTTCTAATTCCATTAATGCAGACTTTCAGGCTTTGTTTTTTTTACCTGTTGCTATAGTGAGTCTCGTTATATGCGGTCCACTGTTGAGGGCTTTTCTGTAATCGCGTTGACGCTTAACTCAGAGTTATCTTGACATACCCAGTTGATTTGTCCTGTTCTAAAACCGAAAACTTTGAGTATCACAGAGCAAAGAAGGTTTATTCACAGTATGTATTTTCTACTCAGTTTGTAAATTCTGCTTTCTGAAACGGGGCCCAGATGGTCGTGGAAAAGATGTTTGCCTGTTTAAGACTAGTAAACTCAGTGACAGAAAATTGGGTTGATAACAGTCCAACGCTTTATTAAAAACTGGAAGGAGAATTTAGAAATAGGAATGAACCTGAATGGTTGCTAGTCAGAAACATTTGTGAAAACAACAACAAATCTATGGACTATATTCCCATCAGCAGCGGTTGAACGGTCTATCATCATTAATACAAGATATTGGTAAAAAATGAATGCAATTCTGGATGAAAATAATTTTTTCACATTGAAGAAGCTCATCAAAACAAAGCCACAGCAAATGTGTGTTGTAATGAAAGATAAAGATGGTTATACAAAACAGTAGAGCGTAATTTAAGGCAGTGCACCTTAAATATGTAGCGTATAAACAATTATAACCCCATGAGTGAGAGAAAATTAACAATAAAATGAAAAGTATTCAAGCAAAAGTTAGTTTTTAAACTGTTTCTTAGCTGTAATGTCTTCCCCTTGGAAAAAGAACAGCTCAAACAACTCAATGAACGCCCCAAAATAAAATCATCATGACAATCAGTAGGAGTTTCTGATACAGGTTATGTGAACTTTGTTGCATTCATTTACTTGGGTTATTATATTTGGTTTTCAGCACAAAATATTAGGATTTTTAAAAATGTAATTCTTATAAATCTGAACAATCTTATAGCCTTTAAAATAGAGAATTAGATTAATTAGAAAATACATTTTCATTGTGTATGAGTGGCAATTGGAAATTGAAGTAAAATGTCATGGTTGGTTGAAAAAGCAGCAACAGGGAGGCTATGGATGTTTTTCGCCCAGGACACCAAACAGGCTAGGACCGCCCCTGGTAACAGCTCATACAGGACGTGGTTACATAGAAAAGTGAATGGGAAAACAAATTAACGCTGCGGGCATCAGTCTGCTAGCATTAGAGGTCCAATCTCGGATGTCGGACCGGACGGTTTGAAGGCCTCGTTGTTCTCACGACCCAAATAATATACAAAAAACAAACAATACGACACATTATAAGCCTGAAACATGCCCTAAATAAATCAGGAAATTAAAAAATAACAAAACTGACCTTTCCAAACATTCCGCGTGCAGGTTGCCATATCTGCTGTTAGCGGTCCGTGTGGAAACAAAAGCCGTTTTTTTTGGTACCGCTTGACAAAATCAGACAATGGAAGTTTAACGTATCTAGTGTGGTTAATAACAAACACTCAGTGGTAAATCACTTACGTTAAAAGAAACGCTCTTCCGCACGTTTAAGATCTTGCTTTGAGTATAAATGATATATTTATACTCACTTTTAAGTGTCAAACACTTAAAAGTTTGACATTAAATATTAAGCTTAGATGACTGAATCTAGAATACTTTCACCAATAAACTGAGTGCCTATACAAATATTTGGAAGATTTCATTATTATTTTAAAATATCTCCAATGAATACGCTTCTGCATAATAGAGAAAATAAAATAAATAGATAGAAACAAATGAGAATTTTAACTTCTAGTATTAATTTCTGGTTTTAAGGAGGCTTGTTCTTTCTCTATTTATGTATATTACTACAATAATAATAATAATAATAATAATAATAATAATAATAATAATAATAATATTTTATGTTTTGTTTCTCGTCGCTAAATGTTTCATTAAATTTTGTTACACAAGAAATATTGCGCAACCCAATTGGCGCGCGCTCCGAGAGTGTGACGGGGACGAGCGGAAGCCGCGTTTGTTGTTCTTCCTTCTGTTTCCGAGACGTTCAGGGGTCTACACGGGTTCCAGAGGCGCGTCTGCATGTCGCTGCTAATTCCCCTCATAAACCGTCTTCTACCGCCCCCGAATGAAGGTAAAGTCCCGCCTCGGTTCGCGTTCACACAGAACACATCCACCCGGGCCGGTTCCGAGTCAGATTAAACCCGCTCCTGGCAGATCGGCTCCCCGGCAGTGAGCCCCGGTAAGCCCGGGTGTCGAGCCCACAGCTGCCGACAGCCGAACTAATCCAACCCGCTGCTTCGGAGGCGCCTCCCGGTGAACGCGGCTGTATGCTGTTTCTACCACTGTCTAAGTTTCAGTGTTAATATGATCAGTGTAATCGATATTATCAATTATCAGACACTTATATTGACTCTGGGGTCAGGTGTGTCAGCTGCTAAGCCGAACTTCTTCCCGAACGGGCCCGTCTGGCTACTTTTGACACTCCAGCTATGTTTGGAGACTCGTCCTTCAGCTGTCTGTGCAGTTGGCATTGCTACATTTTCTCCCATTTAAAGAAACTCCTCTCCCACCTAGTAAAAATCCAAACCTCGGACTTTAAGGCGACCATTTCCAAACTTTCAGAAAAAAAAGAAGAACTTCAGTGATTAGTTGAAGTTCAGAGACTAAATGTGTAAAATCCCTGCATGGGGATGATGAAAGTTTCCTCTGGAAATGTAGTTCTGTGATATGAACAGATGCCAGCAGGCCATATGTCACCCTGCTCCTTGCTTGTGATCCAGTAAAGTGTAAACAGGTTATGCAATTCTTTTCCAAACTTGTTCACCTCGGCCAAGCTCATGTCTGCTGCTGCTGTATAAACACCAGGCAGAAAGTTCTGCAGCGCTTCTCAGGTTCGTCTGCATGCTGCTGCAAAACACTCCCATGCTACAGGTGTCTTAGATGTTCTGCACAGACATGCATGTTAAATAAATACCGCCTCAATTTTCTGGCGGGTCCAGAGTTATAGCTGATCTTTACAGCCAGGAGAATAAAGTTATGTTAGGAAAAGGAAGTAATTGTTATTTGTAGAACAGAACAGGCAAATAAATATTATTTTTTTGTTTTATAAATATAGAAAGCTCCAATCAAAATATATATTTTGTAACAAAACAAAATATTTTTTGTCTAAAATGCAAATCTAGAATACAAAAAGAGTAGCTTACTCAAGTTAAAGTAAAAAGTAGCCATCTAAGAAATTAAAATGGAATACTTATTTATTTTTAAAAAAGTAAAGGTCAGAGAAAAACATTAAATAATTAAGAAGAAAACAAAAAGTATATCAAATACAAAACCAAACTTTTATATCCAGGTAGAAAAGGACTGAGAAGAAGACAAATCCTGTTAGATCCTACCCCAAAATACACAAGTAAAAATGAAAAGTACTGTAATATTTAATTAAATTTTATATCTTAAAAATGATTTAATCAGTTAGAGAAAACGTTAAAATTATGTACAAATTCTGTTATTTTAAAGACTTAAAGAAAAAAATAAGACAAATCATAAACTGAGGCAGAAGAAACACTTTTACAAATAATGTTTTTTAAATATAAAACTTTCCAAATTCAAACTTACTGTAGGTAATCTGTATATATAGATTCTAGTAGAGGGTGAAGTGACAATAAATGATACTTATTTTATTTTCTTGATGTTTAAATGACTCAACAAGTTCAGGAAATAGAAAATAACACCAGAACAACAAAGCAGGTTTATGAACAGGATGTCTCACTTTGACATAAATTGTGTGGGTTTTTTTCCAGACCATTTCTGGCTAAAACACATTTCTTCTTCATTTATTGATGTTAAAAATACTGCTCAAGTAAAAGTAAAAGTACGTTGTATTAAAACTAATCCTAGGAGTAATTTTTCCCAAAATGCAAATTTAACATTTACCGTATCATTTATTGTTGTCTTGACAAAATTTTTCGTTGTGATTAAAAAGAAATTAAGATTTATTGACTTAAAGTTGAATTACAGCTAATGATCTCTGAGAATCCCAGTAACTGAAAGTATTTGCAGGATTGTTGGTTTTATTTTCTCCACTGTTGTTTCCACGAGAGGTTCAATAAATATTAATACATTTCAATGTATCCTGAAGAAACCTCAACTTTTAGCATTATTTTATTGATTTCACAATAGTTCATCCCTATTTTACCAATACCCAGAAAAACAAACACGTTTCCTGAAGTATCCACTAAAACCTTTTGTGGCTTTACTCATAAAATTATGAATTATAGTTACCACACACAGTTCTTTGGTGGTTATTGACAGGGTTTTGATATATTTGTAAAAGAAACTTGATAAAAGAAAAAGTTGACATGAGAAAACAGAGGATTGTGCAGCCAGAAATGTTCAAGCCATTCTGGAAAGCAGCTGTTTAAAATTACGTCTCTAGCCTTATGATGTATGATTCAGTTGAAGTGGTATTATGTGTCACCCTGGAAAAAAACATCGTATTAATAAAGAACCAGCAGCTTTTTTCTTCTAACTTCTTCTTTTCTTGAAATCTGTTTACAAAACTTCTTTTTTCTCTCTCTAAATTTGTTCTCTCTGAATTGAAAGTTGGACTTTGTGTTTTTTTGTGTGCTTTTTTTGTTTCAGATTAACAGGTATGCCAAAGGAAAAATATGATCCTCCAGATCCCCGCAGATGTTACACCATCATGTCAGCTGAGGAGGCGGCCAATGGGAAGAAGTCTCACTGGAACGAGCTGGAGATAACCGGTTAGTCTGACTGCTTTTAGTTAATGGGAAATAAATCCCAAAGCTTTGAGTTCAAAATGTTCAGCTAAAGAAAGATCCACGATGGTTCAATCAAACACAGCTGGTCATCTTGTCTTTTATTTCCTGAAGAAGTTTCAAAAGACAGAATGGCTTCTTCAATTCAGACTGAACCAGAGAGGAAGCCCAGAGATGCACCGATCCACTTTTTTTTCACTTCCAATACTGATATCTGAGGTTTAGTATTGGTTGATACAGAAACACAATGCTGAATTGATTTTTTTTAAACAACACAGACATAAATTCACTGAATTACAAATATATTTGAAAACTCGGCACCATTATAGCACAAGTAAATACACCAATAGCTTCACAAGGTTGGTCGAGTACGTAAAAGCAATTTTAATTTGTTGAGTCACTGCATTCAGGAGCAAAACAGCCAATGTGAAATAAAACATAAAGAAACTGAAACAGATGAAAAAAAACAGTAGGTTTACTACCACTTGGTCAAACATGTAAAAATTAAACTGCAACAAACAAATTTCATAATATTGTACTTAAATAAATAAGTTATAGATTTAGACTGAATAGATCTGCACAAATGAATTGGACACATTGCCACCTATACACAGTCTGGGTTTTTTTTTTTCTGTTTTTTTTTTTTTTTTGCAATATTGCAACCGATACAAATATCGATATCAGATTGTTGCATCGCTAGGCATGTCACAATAACTTTTGCTGATTGATAAATTGTCCCAGACGTTATTTAGAAAATCGATAATATTGTTGTTTTGAGAGGAATCAACTAACTTTCTCACTCTTTGGTTACCTAGCAACTCACTGTTCCCTGGTTGCCTAGCAACAACCTTCTGATTAACTGGCGCAGCAACAGTTTAAAGTTCTGCCACCGTGCTTCAAAATAAAAAAACTGTGGATAAAACAGGAACGGTGGCTTGACCGTTCCTGTTTTATCCACAGTTTCTGATATAAAAAAAACCAAAAAAAACACAGTATCAATAATTACCGATATCGACTAATATGAAATGCTTACATCGTGATACGTTCTTCAGTCCTATCATCCAGCTCTATGTCTCTACTCTTGTGAAATTCCTCAGACCAGGGTTATAATAGTTTTGGGGGTTTTATTTTATTTTAGTTTTATTTTGTTGTGACTTTTTGTTCGTCTACTTCAGTGACTTTTATTATTTTTTAGATTGTGTTTGCTTGTTTTTGTTAGTTATTATTAACTATTGCTTAGATTTTATTAGAGTAGTTTGTTTTTCATACTTTGGTTGATTTTTAGGTGTAGCATTTCCAAAAATTTATACAACAACCAAAAGACTCTGGAGTTTTCTCCCGTTGTTTTGTGGACCAGCTTAGAAGATAATGGAGTACCGTGATTTCACAAAAAATCAATTTCACATCGGTTTGAAATAAGTAAACACAAAACAAAGCATGTTATGTCTATAGTTTCAGCATGTTTTATAAATGCACAATATAGTTTTTCCCCATTAATTACCGATTTTATTTGTTTTAGTGATCGTGATTTTGTTAGTTTAGTTTGTTAGTTGACTACAATAACCTTGCATCATCATCATCATCAGTTCTTCAGAATCAGATTTTAATGCCGTCTTGTTTGTGTTTTTCTTGAATCAGGACGAGTCAGGAGTCTGAGCAGCTCGTTATGGACCCTCACGCACCTGACGGCGCTGCACATCAATGATAACAACCTGACCCGCATCCCGCCGGACATCGCCAAGCTGCCCAACCTGGTCTACCTGAACCTGTCGTCCAATAAGCTGCGCAGTCTGCCCGCCGAACTGGGCAACATGGTCTCTCTCAGGTAGGCCGCCTTATCAAACACATGACAGAGCGGACCCAGGGATTCCCACCAGAACCATCACACTGCCTGCATTTCTTTAACACCCATCATAGCGAAGCTCTTAAAGCCGCGGTATCATGTAAAATCATCTTATTTTAGTTTTGCATCATGTTGTAATTTTACTCTTTCATCAGAAACATATCTGGAGTGTTTCCTTGGTTTTTTTATGCATGTTTAAGAAATCCTTCAATTCAGCTGTGTGACACGGCTGGGAGGATGTAGCCCAGCCTTTGAGGCGCAGCCCTCCCCCACTCACTCCTTCAGACTAGCCAGTAGCAATTAGCAAAAACCAGCTGAGCTCATTACACGAGCTGCTTCTCAGTGAAACGCTGGTGAAAACATTTTTATAGGGTTAGTAGAGGAGCCATGTTGTGATAAGTAAGCGCAGAAGTTTCTTAAAGAGACGGAGACACAATTTCAAGACGTTAAATTACAAAGTGAAATTTATTTTAAGTCATATTAGATTTATATAGCATTTTTATAACAACTGAAGGACACAAAGTTTGTTGCTGTAAAATGGCGCTATGTGCCTGGAAAATACATAATACTGTTAATGTTTCTGTGTAAATTGAGACATTTTTGTGTAAATTTGTTTGATTCTGCAAAATTTTCCCTGAAACCATCTCAGTGCTGCCCTCTTCAGGCTGAACAGCATCTTGGCTGTTCAGATATAATTTGACTTACAAGTAACTTTTCACAAGATGTATGAGCTTGTAAATCATTAACATTGATTTAGAAAAGTACTATCAGATTATTTCACTAATAAGAAGACCTTTTCCTGTGTTATAGCTGAAAAAATCTGCCAGAGAAAAACTCCTTCAAATATCTGGAGAAATATTTTAAAAATAATTTTTATTGCATATGTATTAGTCTTTATTTAAAACTGCAATGAAAGTTACATTATTTAATAAGTATAGGGATCAAATCACCAAAACTACACATTGAGAAAACTTTAAAATTGCTTCAATTTAGCTTCATATTCCAGTGCCTATAGAAAAAAGTTTTATTGATCAGTAGTGATGGAGAAACTTGTAAGGCAAGCTTTAAGTGAAATCTGGTCACGTAGAAACAATTTGTTTACTTTATTGCTATTGTTGCATTAATCTTTAACTGAACTTTATATCTGTAAAATTTTGCAGGGATTTATATGCTTTATTTTGTAACTAGGTTGCTGTTTATTGCAGACTTCTGCCCAGGTCCCTCTTGAAAATGAGATCCAGATCTCAACAGGATTTACCTGGTTAAATAAAGGAAATTAAATTAAATTAATGCTAAATGATCTTTGATAACTAAATAAAGGCTCAGACTCCGCAGCTAAGAACTGGAAATAATCTTATAGTCAGAAATAAAAGCTTAGAGCTGAACACTAATGCTTGGTTGTTGCTTTTTTGCAGGGAATTGCTTTTAAACAACAATCTTTTACGAGTCCTGCCTTACGAACTCGGCCGGCTTTTCCAACTTCAAACTCTGGGACTAAAAGGTGAGACGTCTTCATCTTCAGTGATTATATTAACTATCCATTAATTTATTTAGGGACATTTAAACTGCAAGAACAAAACCATACCAAATATTTTTGGTCTAATTTCTAGTGCAAATATCTTAGCAAACTTGAAATAAGACAGAAATAACTTACAAGTAACTTTTCACAGATTGTTTTAAGTCAATAATTCTTTGTGAGGTTTTCTTGTCAGACAGGAAACTTTGCATTAACAAAAAATAACTATAACATGATTCAAAATGGCTGCCAGTGATCAGCATTTTAAAATATTAAAATGACTCCAATACAGCATCCTCTTTAGGACAAGATTAAAAAATAAAGATGAAATGAAACGATGTTAAAAATATGCTAGATGGAAATGTGTAATTATTACAATAGCCACACTTTATAGTTGCATTTTGACGTTTAGGCTACATTTATTCCTCGCAGGAAATCCGTTATCGCAGGACATCCTGAATCTGTACCAGGAGCCCGACGGAACCAGAAAGCTTTTGAACTATATGCTCGACAATCTGGCAGGTAAAACCCTCAGCAGCACATTTAATATTTATATCATATCAATGTAATATTTATGACCTGCTTCGTCCCCCAGTTCACCCAGAGCAGCTCCCCCAAAGACCGTGGATCACTCTGAAAGAGCGAGACCTGATGAGCCCAACAGGTCGGTTCCGGTCGGTTTAACTCTTTAAGAGCGACTCTTCGCCGCTCTGATTCCTCCTCTGGTTTCGCCTGCAGCTGCGTTCACAGTCATGTGCTACAACGTGCTGTGCGACAAATATGCCACGCGGCAGCTGTACGGCTACTGTCCGTCCTGGGCGCTGAACTGGGAGTACCGGAAGAAAGGCATCATGGAGGAAATCACCGGCTGTGACGCCGACATCATCAGCCTGCAGGTGAATCAGAGCTTATTTAACGTAAAATCTGAGAATAAGATGTGAAGGTGAAACTCAACTGAAGGGTCCAGATTCAAACTAGAAACCACAAAATGTAGATGGTTAGTTTTAGCTTTTTAAAATGTTGTTTAATACAAAACAAACATATTTTTTCTCTTTTTTGACGTTAAACATCCAGTGACATTTGCTAAAATAAAGTTGTGAAAAGTTCATTGAGAAGAAACAGAATGTTTTTGGAAAAATTTAAAATTGTATTTTTATTCTTCCAAAAAAATTTAAAACAACTTTTTTGGGGGAAAAGAAATTAAAATACTATTTTAAAATAGTATTTTGGAAAATAAATAAAAAATGTGAGAAAATGTGCTTTTGTCTTTTTTATTATTTCTAAGAAATATTTATATTCTTTGGAAAAAAAATTTTCAAGAAGTATTTTGAAACACATTTTTGAAAATAAATGATAAATGTGGAAAATTTGTGCTTTTCTTTCAAAAAATATTTACAAAAATGTTTTGGGCATAGAAGTTTGAAAATTAAGAAAAAATGTTCCTTTTTACAAAAATGATTTTGAAAAATATGTATTTTTGGAGAAAAAAAATTTTGTTAAAATGTATTACTTTTTTTTTTTTAAACAAAAACTACTTTTTGAAACATTTTTTCAAAATGAGTAAAACATGAAAAATTTGCTTTTCTTTTTCAAAACAAATATGTTTCAATTTTTGGGAAAAAAATTAAGAAAATTTTTCTAAAACATTTGAAAACTGTATTTTTTATAATCAATGTGAAAAAATTCTGCTTTTCTTTTTTTTTTTTTTTTATTAAACCTGAGGCAGTTTTTTTAACTTCTGCAATGACTCAAAGATCCCTTTTTTACAAATATCTTCAAATACAATTTGTATTTATTTCTAAACAGGAAAAATAAAAAAGTATCAGAAACAATTTTTTTATATATATATTTAATTGACAAAAACAAAAGTGGGCCACCAATAGTTTGAATTTTGTTTAGTCAGCACTGCAACCTGATCAAACATCAGACCCACCTCCACCGATTCCCAGCGATCCGATCCGTTCAATAAAACTTCTGTGTTTCTGCAGGAAGTGGAGACCGAGCAGTACTACACCCTGTTCCTGGAAACACTAAAGGACCGCGGCTACGACGGCTACTTCTGCCCCAAATCCCGCGCCAAGCTGGTTTCTGAGCAGGAAAGGAAACACGTCGACGGCTGCGCCGTTTTCTTCAAGACCGAGAAGTGAGAACCTCAAAAGTTTCACAGAACCAACATGGAGTCCGCCTGACGGCTGACCCGGACGCTGGTGATGTCTGCAGGTTCACTCTGGTCCAGAAACACACCGTGGAGTTCAATCAGGTGGCTATGGCCAACTCTGAGGGGTCAGAGGTCATGCTGAACAGAGTGATGACCAAAGACAACATCGGCGTGGCGGTTCTGCTGGAGGTTAATAAGAGCATGTTCTCCAGTGGTAAGACAAGATGGTCATGTGACCATGATTTTTATTTTTCTCTCTTTCTGTTATAGATAGAGTCTGTTGAAATAATGCAATCAAAACGTCTAAATATTTATTTAAAAAACGACTAAATTACTGTAAAAAATCTGTGAAATTAATGTGCAATATCCTGTATTTCCACAAGGTGGCACCACAGATTTGTTATTCTGTGAACAACAGCAGTTTTGTTGTTTACTGGAGTTAAAGAAGCTTTAACTGCTGTTTTAATGCATTGTTTTGCTTAATATTTTCTGACCATATGTCTTGGATATGTATTTGACTTGATTTTATGATATTTAGTGCTATTAAGGAAAGCTTTGCTGCCAGATGCAGTAATAATTTTCTGTTTTTACTGCTTAAAGAGTTTCATAACTCTTATATAACTTGCAGGATATTAATTTAGGAAGTAAATAATCTCCCCACTGTTTTAATTTAATAGCTATTTTATTTACTTCAGAGGTTCTTGTTGCCTGTCTTTATGTTTATTGAACTGTTAAAATCTATAATCCTGTTTCTCTTTTGTGAGGCATGAAGCCTCAGGAGAGGCAGCTCCTTCTTGTGGCCAACGCTCACATGCATTGGGACCCGGAGTACTCGGACGTCAAGCTGATCCAAACCATGATGTTTCTGTCGGAGCTGAAGAGCATTGCCGAGAGAGCCTCGGGTGCCATGACGACGGACTTCCCGACCTCTGACCCGTCATCCATCCCCATCGTCCTGTGTGCTGACCTCAACTCGCTGCCCGACTCTGGTAAGTCAAGCAAATGATGAATCGATTTAAGGTTAATTGTACATTAATGGTTTATTAGATTATAACGTCGGCTCAGACCAGGGTGCCCAAAGTCGATCCTCGAGGGCCGGCATCCTGCGTGCTTTAGTTCTGGTGGTAGTAACAACCTTTTCAGCATGTCAGTCAAGTTGCCCATCTAACCTTCTTCAAACCAGACAAAATAGGAGTCAATCAACTCGACTCCGTTTGTGCAGCAACAATTTTCATTTGTGCTGCTATCATTCTAAAGATATTAAGAAAAATGTTTCTAGAGGTCATCCATTTCATGATTGACATTCATCAACACTTAAATCAGTGCACAAACTAACATAAACTACCACAAACTGTTTATAAAAGATCTGATGACCTCCAGAAACGTTTCTTTATTTATGTAAAATGATAGCAGCACAAACAAAAAATTTTTGCTGCACAAAGGTTTGACACCAATTTTGTCTGATTTGAAGAAGGTGGGAGGCCACTTCACTCTAGGCCGTCTATCGAGCCATCACTGGATCCAAGTGCGTTAAACCAGGGAGAAAACTAAAAGACTAAAACATGCAGGATGCCGGACCGACTTTGGGTACGTCTGGCTTCCACCTGCTGTTAGTGTCGCAGTTTAGCCTCCATCCAGAAGAGGCGCCGACATCTTTATTTCCGTCGGTATAGAACACAAAACTGAGGTTTTTATCAAAATGGCTGCTTACTAATTAATTGTTACCGACCGATCAGTGTAGATTAACTCATTAATCAATAACTTGCATCCCTAGTTGAGTTAAGAAGACTCCAGCAGTGATTTTGACCATATTCCACTGAATTAAGCCGAAACAACAGATTTTTAAGTTGTTTTTGTTGCGTGTTGTTGCTGTGCAGGCGTGGTAGAGTACCTGAGCAACGGCGGGGTGGCTGAAAACCACAAGGACTTCAAGGAGCTGCGCTACAACGAGTGTCTCACCAACTTCAGCTGCAACGGCAAGAACGGCAACTCGGACGGCAGCATCACACACAGCTTCCAGCTGAAGAGCGCGTACGACAGCAACCTGATGCCTTACACCAACTACACATACGACTTCAAGGTAGAAACCTGCTGCTCAGCAGGACCCGCCAGATGCGTCTCTGCGCACAAAATGTGCACAAAACTTTGTCGGCATTCTGCTAATGTTGAAAAAACAAAATGTGTTTCCGTTAAAATGAGAAACGCAGTTAAAAAAGTTTGTTCACGTGATAAATCTTTTTTTTAAAAATCATTCTGTGCCATCATCTTCCTACTTCCTGTCGTCTTCTTTGTCTGTTCTGGCAGTAGTAACATCCTGCTGTCGATCATGTGACTCGTGATGCGAAACAAATGTTTTCATTGCAATTTTGCGAAAGAAATAAAATTTGATACGACCAAAACAAATCACCTCATCCTGACTAAAAAGGAGGAATTCAAGTTTGACTGAAGCACTTCAACTGTGTTCAGATACTGGACTGTTATTGATCAGCTATTAGATTAACACACACTTAAATTAAGTTTAGATTAACAAAACTTAAAGAAATCTAACCTGAGTATATTTTGCATCTTCAGTTTCCTTTAAATCAACCATTTCAATTTTGTAAAAAATTTGTTTTGAGCCCAATGAGCTTAAAATTTATAGCCGAGTGGAAAACCCAAAATCATACGTGTGGAACATCTTTTAGCACTTTTTAGTAGTTTCCTGTGGAAACCAGAAGTTAGTTTGGAAGACATTTTAACCAGAGATGCGTCACTTTTTCTTTCTTTTCTCTACACTTTTCTGTAGTTTTCCAGACCGTGTTGGTGGCGAAGCCTTTGAATCTCGTCTCGCATCACAGTTTTTGATGCGCTGACATTTCAGCCAGGCTTTGGAATGAGTCACGCCGGCAACTTTCATATAATGTCTGGTTTTCTGCTTCGTCTCGTTTCGTGACCAGCAGCTCATCTGCTGGCTTTCAGGTTTTGCTTTTTTCCACTCGGAGCGTCTCTGCTCTCTTTGCTCTGCTGGAAACATGATGCCAGTTCCTCTCCAGGATTTTTGTTCTGCTCCTCTTATCTACTATAAGGCTATTGTGCAAATTCAGCTTTTACAGGAATAAGGTCAAAGTTCAGCTCGTCCACATTGAAACAGAATTAGCTGGTATTTAAAGTAAACACCCAGAAAGTGGGAAGTGAATTCACTCCTCCCATCTTAAATGTTGCTAAATCCTGCAGTTGTTTTTACTCGCTATGTTGATATTCTGCTTAAATGAAGCTGAATTCCCCCGAAAAGTTGCTTCAGTTTAAATATTTTTCTGGTTTGAGTCTAAAAAGAAACTAAATCTCTAATGTCAGCATTCCTTTAGTTTACAGTATTTGTAGCAAATTAATAACTGATCAGTAATTGGATAATAAAAGAACCTAGGATTTTTTTATTTTCACAGAATTTGAGCCAGGTAAAGTTCAAACTGCGCTCTGGCTAGAGCATGTACAAGAAGTCGTCTTTTTTTTTTATCTTAAATGCAAAATGTATATATTTTTAATTTTTTGTACAGCTTTGGCTTAAAAATATTGATCTATTTATGTTCTTTAAGCAAATGGCCTTTTTTGATTCTTTATCCTATTAGTTGATGCTTTCTTCAATAATTGGTTCAACACAGTTAACAGTTTTAACCATAAGATATTTATTACCAAGATTTTTCTCAAATTTCACGTTTATTTCTAAAAAAGTTTAGACTTTTCAAACATTTCCACTTTATTTCTCAAATTTCTGAAAATATCCCAAATTAATTTTTGTCGCAAATTTTTGACTTTCATACTGTGTACAATTTTTTTAGATTAATCTAAAAATGTCAAATTTTTTAACTTATTGTTTAAAATGCAAATGTCCTCCTTTCTTCTGGAAAATGTCAGAGGTTACCTTCAAAACATTGAAGTTTTATTCTACCAAATGTTTGACTTTTGAAACTCAAAAATATTTTTCTCGAACATTAATGAGATAAATCTTAATAATTTAGAGGAAGTCATTTTAAAAAAAAATACATATCTACAATGTCTCTATTACGCCACCGTACTGACCCGACCCATAAAGCCGGTTCTTATGGGCTTTATCTGTTCGCCACTAGAGGGAGCTCTTTGTGAACCTCTCTTCTGTTCCCTCAGGGTGTCATCGACTACATCTTCTTCTCCAAGACACACATGAGCGCCGTGGGCATCCTGGGCCCGCTGGACAGCCAGTGGCTGGTGGACAACAACATCACCGGCTGCCCCCACCCCCACATCCCCTCGGACCACTTCTCCCTGCTGGCCCAGCTGGAACTGCACCCCCCTGCTCCCCACGCGCTCAACCCCCTGAACGGCCTGCACTTGCCGGTCCACAGGTAGTGCAGCCTGGGAAAGCCCCGCCCCACCCCGCCCACACCTCTAACCTCACCCCTCAGCTTTTAAACACTGCCCCCCCTCCCAGCTTTATACAGGACCCTGTGCAGCCCACCATCAGACTCGAACAGGAGGAGTGAAGTATTTGCCCGTTTGTTGCTCCTTTTTGTACCTTTTGTGTTATGTTGATTAATTTCCTCCCTTTAAAACGAAGCTTGATACCAAAAATTGGGGACGAAGCTGCTGAAGTGACCCGGCTTAGATGAGATCATGACGGCTCGTTGATTCTGTTTTAAGATAAATTTAACACGAAACGTGACGAGAGACGAGATGACTTCTGTCCCAGTTTGTTTTTCATACATTTAAGAAATAAACTTTTAAGTCACAGATTAATAGTAATGATATAAGATAATACAAGGCATATTTGGGCTGTTATAGGTGGGTGTTAAAATAGAATTTCTGAGAAAAAAATAAGAAATTCTGAGATTAATTTCAGAATTTTACTAGAAGAAAACTTGGAAATTTCTTAATATTTTTTTAGTAAATAATTGACTTTTCAAACTGAGAAGTTTCAGCTTTTTTTCTAGAAAATTTCTGAGATAAATTTCAACATTTTTTAGATTTATCTTGCAAATTTCCACACTCAGAAATTTCCAAGTTCTTTTTCTAGAAGAGATTAATGTAAGAATTTGAGTTAGTTTTTTGTTGTTGTTGCAATTTTTCAACTTTTCTAACCCAGAAATTTTCATGGTTGTTTTTGTAAAAGAAAAAAAATCTGATTTTATTCTAAGAATTTCTGCTTTATTTTCTCAGACATTTTCAAATTTTTCAAAATTTTGAGACTAAACTCAGAATTTCTGAGTTTTTTCTCACAAATGTACTTTTTTTTCCTCTCTACTATGGCCCTTAAATGATGTGGTGAAATATATGTATTTCTCACTACAAAAAGCTGAATTTATGAACGTTATGAGGAAGTCAAACATTTATTGGTGTTTATTTTTGATTTTTTGTTGTTGTTTTTTGGTGCATATCTAAAATTCACAAGCCACAAAATGCCAAAAAAATATGTAAATTAATGAAATCTGAAGAATGATCAGGAGATTTTAAGATTAAAAACATTAAAACTTTGTTTTTAGAAGTAGTATTTGAAAAATGGGAGGCAGGATTTAAAACCTCAGCACATTTCCTGTCGCTAATGCATCATTTTGGGGGGGAGGGCGGGCAGTCGCATAATCTGTAGTTTGTGTTATGTTTTTTTCTTGATACTTTTGAGATTATAATCTTTGCTCTTTTTTGTCACACCAGCCAGTAAATGATGCCTCTTAATATAAACAAGCTGCTTTTTTCATCTCATCCGATTAGAAGTATTTATTTTGATAATCTGGGATTATCCCTCACCTTTATCAATGACGCATTCTTCACTTTTTGAGGCACCTCAGAGCTTTTTAACTTGTAAGAACAGCAGTTCTAGCCAAGTTCTCTCATTTCTGCTTGATTTGCTCAGTATATTTTATACTCACAGATGATATTTTTTCTCCTGATGTTGTTTTAAATGTTTCCCCGTCCCTGATTGGCCAAAGAATCGAATGACATACAATCTGTCTTTACTGGGGTAGCTTAGCCGTGCCAGTCGATGACTCCTACACAGAATGTATTTAGCTGCTTCTGAGGTTCAAAACTAAAAGCCCTTTATGTATGTTAGAGCTCAGTGTGCAGTACCTCTCACACTAAAAACTCTGAGTCACTTTCAATAAAAATACACAGAAAAATGTTGTTTTGACATTTCTGTATAAGCACAGGCAATGTTTGTTCTTGCACACGTACATAATGTTGTATAATTCCTACGTCTTTGTGCATTTTTAATAGAAAACAACTATTGGGGCAGTTGTCCTTCTTTGCCAAAACAGCTGCCATGGTGCATAAAAATGCTATAAAATTAGAGTTTGTGATGTTTTTTTCCTCACGGATAAGTTTGGGATGCAAAGCAGAGTTTAGGGCAGACAAAACGGAAAACGTTGAAAATCTTTACCAATTTAATTGGCTTTTAGAGTTCAGGTGTATGAAATTTAACAAATAATAGCCTGTATTTATTGTCACTCCAGATAAGCCTGTAAATAAATTAATCTCTTATTGCAGCCGCATAATCTATTCTACGATAACTTTAGTATGAATACAAATATTTACATTAGTTTATAAAAAAAAATAAAAAATCATTATAAAGTAACCAGCAGAGGTTCCGACAAAATAAAATAATTAAATAATTTTGGTTCATAAAATGTGTTTTCTATTTTGATTAATTCTTTGTTTTCTGGGGAATAAATATGACGTGACATGAAGTCCTATAAGTTTTAGCAATGAAGCTCGGGGAGAAACCGAGAAAAATAAAAATAGACCATTTATTGAAGGAAGCAAAGAAACATCTAAAACCAAATTTTAAAAAATTATTGAGTTTTACCAGCTCAATAATAAACTAAACTTACAAATTCTAATTAAAAATCTGTTTTATACATAGGTCATCTTAGAAGAAATTCACAGATTTTACAGAAGTTAGCTACTTGTTTTTGGAGAAAGATAAAGTCAATTCTCTGCAGAAACAGCAGGATTGTAGCCACAATTAAAGTCATGTTAGTTGCATTTTGCCATGTTTAATTAATCAAAAGCAGATTTGGGGTCAGTAAAGTCTGCTTTTTAGTAGAAGTCACTGAATAGATGTGGTTCTATTTACTATGAGAGTGCAAAATATTTCCCTAAGTAAAAATTGAAGATTTCATTTTTGATTGAGTTAAAAACATATTTCCTGCTTATGCTGCTGTAATAAAAACATGGATCTACCATAAGGTTGTCTTTAAGGAATTAGATTAATCACTTATTCCTACAACAAACGTGTAAAAGGAGATGAAATGTAAACTTTTTAAATCAGGGATGAATGTTAAAATGATTGTTGAAGGCAGTTAATGCGTCTGTGGTTCATTTAACCCTTTGGACCATGATTTGAAGGTGAAAGGTCGTCGGCACAACCCCAGGACAGATTGGGCCGCCAGCAGCAGCGGTTGATGTTGAGGCCTATACTTCACTCCTGAACAACTTCACCGGGATTTTTGTACAAACAGCTTTACACGATTTGACTCTTTGACAATAATATGGGGGTGTCTTTCACATTCTCACATTAAAGGAGTGTTTTTTTCCTCCTCTCAAGTCAGAGATGTACGTCATGTTGCACATTTTGTCTTTGTCGGGTTTCGCTTGGTGTTCCTGTACAGAACAAATGTCTCTGGTTTTATTTTTGAACTCTGTCTCTAACATTGCAGACTTTCAGATTGGAACTTTGTACGATTCGGAATAACCACGTTTTTCTCAGAAAAAAAAAACAACAACACATAAATGTTTTAGGTTTGAACGCTGTTTGTCTGAGTGGTTTTTATTTCTACACACTCATGCTTTGAAGTTTTCATACACTGAAGTTAAATCAGAACAAGCTTCTCTTACTTTAGCTCACCAAAATTATTTCTATTTGCTAAATGCCACAATAATGAGAGAATATGTCAGTTTTATTTATTAATGTCTTCAAAATAAGTTCATATGTAAGTGATTCCTGTCTCTTTAAACGATTAGAGAAAGGGCGGATGATGACGCAGTGCTACATGGCACGCCATTGGCTAGAGTTGGCAAGGCAGCCAATCCCAGAGCGCCATTCATTTTCCTTGACGCTGATTGGCTGAGCCCGAGAGCGGAGAACAAAAACGGTAAAGGTTAGCTTCTGTAGTCGAGCTAAAGCGGTTTCCACAGTGTGTAATGAGGCACATGAAGGCAAATGTGGGGTTTAAACTACTAAAACAGGAAGTTCTTAACATTTTAAAGGGGGTCTCAAGTATTTTCAGCTGTTAGTGAGCGGTTCTGGCGAATATCGCGGTTCAAAACACGAAATATAACAACTTGATGGACTGGAAATTGCATTGTAAAAGAACTGAGCTCTAACTGAATTCAAACATTACAAAGAATTGTTGATTTAAAAATTTAAAAAAGCACTTTCCTGGCACTCTCTTGATGTTTGCAAAATCAGAGGGTTTGTAAACCTCCGCTAAGCGTTAAGTCACATTCAACAGACACTGCGCCGTCAACTAGCAACCCCGGAACGGGTAATTCTGGTCCTCGGCTCTCGGACGTCTCTCTGGTCCAACACTCTCCAGAGTCCTGCTAATGACGTCATTATCTGACTCAGGTGTGTTGGAAGTAGAGACACATCTAAAAGTTGCCATTGAAGACAACACACCAATGGATATTCACCACAAACTTTCTGTGGAGCCACTAGACACAATTAAGAAAATTAGGCAAAATTCTGAGGATCTGCTTCATCAGCAAGTGTCTTTAGTCAGAGGCTTCTTCAGACTCACTGTAACACTGACCTCTACAGAAGATCTCTCCTGCTCAAAGCCAACAACGTCTGTTGAAGTGAATGAGAGGAATTTTAAAAAATATAAAATATTGTCTTTTTTGCAGTTTCAGTTTATACTTTCACTCATTTAGCACCTATTTAGATAAATACGTGTCGGCTACATTTCCAAATCAGGTTTTATAAACTAAAGACATTCCAATAATAAACACAAACAAAGATGAAAGAAAGCATCATAGAGCAATATTACATCCATATGTTATATGAAATGATCAAAACTTCTTTTATTTCAGCTCAACCGAAACCAAAGAGGATGTGAGAACAACCTGAAAGTTTGAGTTTTAGTTTATAAATCTGTGAAGAAGGAAGTGGTTTTTTTTATAGGTCGGAGTTTTTCATTAACTTGAAGTTTTGCTGGGATTTTGTTGCATTAATGCGTTTCAGGACTTTCTATATCTGGGTTTATTTTTATGTATTTTTATAAATGTTTAGTCCCTTTTTATGAGCACAAACTTGGTGAATTAAATCTATTTTAAAGCTGCTTGTCTGATTTTTGACAGTACCTTTGGTCAGCAAGCTGCTTTTTTCATGAAGATTTATCTGCTTTATTAATAGAAACTGAAGCCAAACAAATACACCACCTCTAAAAGTCAAGGCAATAAAATATTAGACATTATGGAGTCAGTTCTGTTCTTTATTTCTTTAATTAAAACAAATTACATAATCATGGAGTTGAAGAATAATCTGTATAAAATAACATGTAATGAAAACAGTATTAAAAGTAAAACAGGCTTTTACGCTTAACATTGGCTCAGCTTTTTAAAATTATGTCCAGGTTTTGTTAGATGAAGCATTTCCTGTTCATGTTGATCATCAGAAGGTTGCAGGAGACACAGTGGATGAGGTGACGTTTTCATAATCCCTGAGATTAAAAACAGAAACAGATTAGAGTTGTGTTCAGATCAGAGATTTGAAACTACTCTGCAACAATAAAACTGTAAACACAACCAATGGCTGGATGGAAAATGTATCCATAACAAAGGACAAATTTGTATTATTACCATTATTGTAATAATTTATGATGAATACAAGAAGCAGCGTCTGCAGCCTCTGCCCAGCCTTTGAACACAACATACCAGTGAATGAACGTCATGTGAAAGGGGCAAAAAATACTTTATTTTCAAAACTTGGTTCCTGCATCATTTACCATAAACAGTTAGGTTTTTTAATCACATGGTTTTAAACCACTAAAAATGTGTAAAACCACTAAAAATGTATTTATAAATTAACAACAGGGAGGGAAATATCTGTAAAGACAATCAAAATAAACCTATTGACCTATTTATGAATAAGAAATAAGAAAAAATCTGAATTTGAAAAGTCAAAATTTAATAGAAAAAAATTTGTATTTTGAGGATAAAAACACATTTTAGAATTTGAGAAATTTCAATTTCTAGAAATTTTCTGAACCTATAAAAAATTAAGATTTCAAACTTCAACATTTTTCTAGTTTTTTATAGATTTTTTTCCCCCAAATGTTCTCAAAATGTTTCATTTATTTCTAGTAAATTTAAACTTTTCAAACTCACATTTTTTCATGTTTTTTCCAGGACATTTCTGAGAATAATCTCAAGATGCTTTTTATTTTTTGTGGAAATGTACTCGTTTTCTTCTATCTACAATGCCATCTACCCATCTGGACTCAGACCCATCTGTCATCCATCCATCCACCCATAATTTCTATAAAAGTCCACAGATTGAGCTTCTTCAAATTCAGAAAATGCCACTTGGGGTTCTCAGTTCATGTCTGATGGTTTAATGAAGCTTTGAAATATCTACACTAATCTGTAAAGTACAAACCACCGCTGGATTCACAAACATTTGTGTGTTCAGGTTTGCTGCAGAAGCATGAAACAAAAATAAAAGGTTCTTACTGGTTGAGTTTGCTGAGTAATTCTGGGAACCAACTGGCGTCTGAACTGATGCAAACCTTGGAGCCGTTTTTCCTGATGACGCTGCAGAGAAAGAAAGAAAAAACAACTTTAAAAATACAAACTGAGCTCTACATGAGACAAAAAAATCACCACCTGACAGAAAGTAAAGGACATTTTTGTCAAAAAGCTCAGAAATGATCATTTTAATCTAAAAAAAAGTCAAAAATTTAAATAGTTTTACAATTTTCTGGAAAAATCTAAAAAGATTTCTAGAAAAGAACATTCAATTTTCTGTTTATAAGGTACAAAATTTTCTAAAAAAGAAAAGAATGTTTTAGATAAATCTCATAAATTTTGTAGAATTTTTTTCAGATTTTTCTATTTCTTTTGTTGAAAAACTTTGACTTAAAACTGATCTTTTTTTTCTAGAAAATTCATGAGATCAAATTTTCAGTTAATCTTAGAATTGTGTTGTTTTTCTTGAAAAATTACTAGAACTTTTTTGTAAAAGTCTTTTTCAAAGACATTTAATAAAAATTGTAGAATAAATTAGAATTTTCAAAAGTCACATATTCAACTTTTAATAAATTTTCAGTTAAGTATTTTTCTAGAAAATTTATGAGATAAATATCAAAATTTGTGCATTTTCTTTTCAACTTTTCAAAAGTTTTTTCAGAAGATTTCTGAGGTTATTCTAAAAATTTCTGAGAATTTATTTTGTTTCCGTGTTTGTGCTTTGTTGAGGCTGTAGATGGAAACACCTCCAGATCAGGTTACTTACACTCTTTCTGCACGGCGGCACCGTCCTGATGGAGGCGTCACTTCCACCTTGGCCACGGTTCTTACAGCGACGCGTAGAGAGGTCGTTTTTATGCAGCGGCATCCCAACTTTGAAGCTGCAAAAAAATTCAGATTTTTAAATTTATGCAAATTAGCTGGTATAGCATCTGTTTCTTATTAAGATTAATAATGTGATGTTTGTGAGATTTTTCCTCTTCACATTGGAGTTCAGTGAAGTCTGCTCTTTATTTACGTTTTCTAGTGCCAAAAAAGCATGAGCACAACAGAAATTACAGAATAAACCTTAAATATCTGAATAAATAACAGTTAAGAGAGGATTTCCTCACCATGCAGCTCGGGGATGCAGCAGTAGAGAGTCAGAGCAACCAGGAGGATCACAGCTTTGTTCATCTTGAGAGGTTTTTTTTAGCTTTCAGCAAAGGTCAGGATGTGGGAACAATGTGTGAATGAATGAAGTCGAGTCTGGCTTTTTAAAGCTGCAAAAAAAGGAAGTAAAGGCACTTTCTTCCCGTCAGAACATAAAAAAAAAAAAAGAAATCTAATATAGAACGAATTTGTTGCATCTGGAGGTTTTCTGGGGGTTTTGCTGACTTAACTAAAGTTTGGGGTTTCCTATGCTAGGAGTATTTTCATATGATTACCACAGCAGATTTTAGGGTTTTTTTTGTTGTTGTTGTTTTTGTTACAAATACTTTGTTGAAATATATTGTCTGCTACCCATATATAAATAAATGTAGAAACTTTAAAATAAGAGTACTGGTAACAGAGTAGAAAAAGATGCAGCTTTTATATTCAGTCATATTCAATCAATTAGAATATGAGTTCATTTGGGGCTAATTTCTCAGATTAAATGAAATTGTTTAAAATTGACAATCTGTCAGCAGGTATTAACTATAATTTTAACTAAATATATTTAATCACAATATGAAATATAAAGTAACAGCGTCGTCGCAAGTGATCTTAGTATAACATTAGTAACATAATAGCATAATTAGTTCGTAGTCGGAGTTATTAGTACACCACTAATTAGTAATTAGTAGTTTACTAATTAATACTCTAGTATTAATGCTACGTAGTGTAGCATTAGGTAGAAAAACATTAACGTAGCGTAACATTACGTAGCTAAACATTACGTAGTGTAGCATTAGGTAGAACATTAGCTTAGCAACAATATATGTAACGTCACGTACCATGATGTCACTTAACTTTACGTAACACAACTCAACAAGCGTTAGCAAACATACTGTAGCAAACCTAACGTCACGTAGTGAGACCCAAAGTACCACGACGTAACGTAGCGTAACGTGGAGTACCGTAGCGTGACGTTCGGCAACATTACGTAAAAGAAAATTGCATAATGTAACATAACGTAGCGCAGCACCGGGTACCTAACCTAGGTTAAAAAAGATTAGATAACATTATATAGAGCAAAATCAAGTAACTTTCTGTAACATAACACAACAAGCGTAACAAAATATAAGGTAACATAATTTTGTGAACAATATTAAATAATAATAAATGGTAATATCTAAACTAAGATGCACAAAACACACTTTAGGTTTTCTAAAAACAGAAGTTTATGTCTCTCAATGAGCCCATTGAAAACCACAAAGTTTTGTGTTTTCTAAACAGAATGAATCTTTTCAGCAGTCGGGTAGAAAACGTCTCCATTTTGGAGAAGTGTTAGTGTTTAATCTCTGTGTGGATCAGTGAAGCTTGACCACCCAAGATCCTGTCAAAGGTTCACTGAGTTTCCTTCCTTGAGCCCCACTTGTTACAACTTGGCCATTAGAAAGACAACTGCAGTTAGAACCCAGTTTATGAAAACACAGAATAAATAATAACCAAGTTTAAATAATCAGGAGTAAAATTGAAAAGTTACAAGAGAAGAGTTTTTTCTACTTAATTTCTATGATCTTGTGCATATACTACCATATTTTGCTAATTGCTAAACTAACTGAAAAAATAGTTTTCAAACTTGCACGAATTTTCACCAAATGAATCTGGAGTTCAAGATTTAGACAGGAGGTTTTTTCATTCAGAAAATAAGCAAAATGCAGCTCAGTAAACTGCACAGAGACCAGAAGCCGTTTAAATTTGGAGTACCACCAAAATAGTAAAATTGCACCAGCCTGGGTTGAGGCTGGGCCGGGTACAATTAGAATCAGGAATCAATAACAGGAAATGCTTCTCAGATGTTACTCCATCGTACCAGGAATCAAACTTCTGTATTTGCCTTTGGGGTCTCAGCCATTTCCTGTTCTGGTAAATAGATAATGAAGAGTGAAAGTAATCCCCTGCTGAATGGTGGCTGACTTCCCACACAGGAAAGCAAGATATTCTTAACTTAAAATGAGCTCTGATGGGTTATGCACCAATGATTAACAAAGTTCTGACATGAAATCTTTCTGCTTTCTGGAGAGACAGAGCAGACCAACTTAATAAAAATGTAAATATTCTGTTGCTTTGATTTAAAACAATATTTCTTAAAGAAAGATTAGAAGATATTTGTATTTTTATTTGTGTTCTAGGGGTTTGGAGTGTTTCCAATTTGTGGAGAAAGTTTGCGGCGCTTCATCTATGCTGTTTTTAATATTTCCAACATTTTCTTTATTGCTTCTTTTTCCTGTGGTTCACTCTTTTTATATGACTGCCGCATTTTATGTTTGTATTCTTGTTAAATGCAGCTTTTTGTTGCTTTTTATTTGAAAGAATCATTTTGTGTTTGCAGCATGTTTTTGTTGCAAATGTTTTTTTCTGTTTATGTTTTGATGTATGCAGGATTCGTGTGTTTTAAACGGCACCCCCAGGACTCCCCCACTGCAGCTCAAAAATGATAAATTATTTCCAACATGGTTTTCTCATGATGGAAAACACTGAAGTTGACCTATAATGCTTCCTTGAACAGGTTAGGATAGATCCCAATGTTGTTGTTTTTAAGTGCATAAACGTACAAAGTTCAGTTCTGACCTTTTTCGGACAATTTAGAAACTATAAACGTGAAGTTTCTCCTAAATGCATGAAAACACAAAGTAGCTTGCACTTGTTCAGCTTCACCTACGCCGTAAATATTCTCTGATGACTAAACGCTGAAAGCAAAATTTTTCCAGGAGAGATTTGCAATTTCATAGGGTGGCAGTAATAGGGACGTTTTTCTTTTACTGAGTCATTCACACCTAAATGCTTCTGCATGTAAGTGACACTTCACACTTTACTTCAAAGAAACCAGGAAAAAATTGCAGATTAAAGCAAAAAAATGTGTGAAATTTGACAAAGAGCGATTTGGCACATCCTGATGCAGTGAGTCAACATGGCTAGAAAAGGAAATACTGATCATCTCATCAAAGAAATTTATTTAAAAGAAAAAGGAAAGTGTCTAATCCTCTGTATATTTGAAGCTGACTCATCCAATTTGGAAATAATTGCTGACTTTGACATGTTAGCATGTGCAAGGGCGTTTCATGTCAACTTGATGTTAATCAAAAAAGGGAAACTGAAACAGAAAAATTGAAGGTTTCTGGTAAAACAATAAATAAAACCTGTTAATAATCTTAATCCATCCCAAGAAAGCAGAAATTAGATCCAATTTTTCTATCCCACATGCAGTACGTTTATACTTCTGGGTTAAATTACATCTTATGGTTTTACAGTGAAAAATAAGCACTTATCATTTCTAAAGGATATCAGAATAGAAAATATCCCTTATTGCCCCACAGTGGGGAAATTCAGCACCACTGCAAAAACACCAAATCCTACCAAGTATTTTTGTTCCAGGTTCTACAGCAAATGTCTTAGTACATTTTAAATAAGACTAACGTAAAAGAAATGTTTCAGCATGATAAATAAGTTTGTTTTCAGTCAATAATTATTGATTATAGATGCACAGCATTGCTTACATTGGCAGATTAATTTCACTTAAAACTGGAAGAATCTGTTATAAGTGAATCCACCAATTGAGCTGAAATCCTTTCATAAATGTTGAGGAAATATTGACCTAAAAAAGCTCTTATGTTGCTTAAAAGTTACTTTTAACTTAATTTTCTCTTATTTTAAGTGTACTAAGATTTTTGCACTACAACCTCTTAGACCAATCTGTGTTTTTACAGTGTAGGAGGTGATGCTGCTCCAAACAGGGACTGATGATGCATTCAGTGTTTTAGTTTAAAACTTGAGGAGAATAAATAACCAAAACAAAACTTAAAGTTTCAAAGAACAGCTGAAGACTGAGACTATTTGTGCTATTAGAGCATAAAGCTTTTTCGTTATTAAAAAAGTGATATTTTAAAACCGTTTTCAGTGGCGCAATCCTTCCTACTTTGCCCAGAATGGAAACCGAACCAACCAAAGCAGGCCTGTCTGAAACTATCTCTGTGGTTTAATGCCAAACACAAAGAATCTGCTTTGTTTCGTTTCTCTTGCGCTTCAGCATAAGAAGAAACTTTTAACTTTCTTCTGTTTCCTGTAGAGTGGCTCCAAACACTTCCTCACACACATGGCGGCTTCTGCCAAACGAGCCAACTCTGCAGTTTGCCTCTGCCACTTTTAGTGAGCGACAGACGTCTGCTCGCCAACTTGTGAATTTCACTTTCCCGACTTTCAGTGACAGAAAAGGTTTGCAAGCAAAGTTTACACTGAGCAGGTCTGCTTATATCAGCAAATCTGAGACCCGCTGAGCGCCACAGATCCACCGTTCTTAGACTCAGATCAGATGTTTTTATGAGTTTCAGTTGCAGCAAGTGGAGTTTTGTAGATTTAGGCGTTAGGTTCACTTTAACTGCCAAGAGTTTTACTGTATCTGCATTACATTCTGCATAAATGGAACCAACAATTGATTTTAACACATTCATCTAAACTGTTGTCTTTTTACTCTATTTTATCACTTTGGTGAAATGTTTTTAGCTTGGTTGTCGTTTTATGCCTTATTCCTGAAATGTTATATAAAAGTGGGTTTATCTTGCCTTCAATGCCCTGCAAAAACAAAGAATCTTACCAAGGATTTTCTGGATCCAATACAAACATCTTAGTTCACTTGAAATAAGACAAAACTAACTCACAAGTAACTTTTCAGCGAGATATAAGATCTTTTTTTTAAATAAGTCAGTAATTCCCTGTAAGACTGTTTTACTTATTGCATGGAAAAACTTGTTCTAAATTAAACAATCTACAACTGGGACACATACTTTTTCATCAATATTAATGAATTATTTACTTACAAATGCCCACTTCTTTCTGTAAGCTACTTGTAAGTTAGTTTGGTCTTATTTCAAGTTTCCAAGAAACGAGAAAAAATGCTTGGTTAAATTTTGCGTTTTTGCAGTGCATGCAAACTGTTTGGATGTTTTCATCGTTTCACTGGGTTTTCAAATCAGATTTAGCTTTTGCAGTGTGATAACTTAAACAGATGAGCTTTTAATGAGGGATAAAATACATAGAGGCAAAGCTAAAAAATTTTATATATTAAAGTTTTAAAATAAGGATCCTTTATGTGAACTAAAAGCCAGTAAATATCTTTAATTTATTCTATATTTGGAATCAAAAACACATGCAAAGATAAAATGCACTGAGAAACTTCCACTTTAAGTGGTAAAACCCTCATTCTGTCATGGGTTTTCCATTCTTGCTCTATGGATTTAATTTAGCTTCTGTACTTTTACAGTTACTGCCGCTTTTCAGCTTCCACCTGGAAACAAATCCTCCGTTCGTTTGCCATTTAATCTGCAAACTTTCCCCGAAACGCCGCACGTCTGTCAAAGCTCAGCCTAACTGCAAGTTACAGGGACTGTCTGAAGGTTAAGATCAAAATGTCCAAAGCTGTCATCATTTGAAGGTGTTAGCCACAAGGCCTGCTCTGATCAGCAGATGAAACGCAGAGACAGACAGAAATCTGGGTGTGAACCTTCAGAGCCACATACAGACAGTTACAAAGTCGGCCTTCTGCCACCTGAACATCTCCAGGATTAAATGTTCCATCTAGATGTTGAGAAACGCAGGCATGCGTTTATCTTTAGCTGCGTGTTTTAGTATCACTACCATACGTTATTTAAAGACCTGCAGTTGTCATAGCAACCTCAGGTGTTCTTCCTCTGGTTCTGGTTCTGGTCTGCGTCCCTAGAACCAGAACCACACATGGAGAGGCAGCATTCAGCTTCTATGCACCACAAATCTGGAACAAACTTCCAGAACACTAAAACTCAGCCAAAACATCTAGACTTCTGATTCATTATAACTGGAACATCAATCAACATAATAGATAAGCAGCGATGATTCTGATGGGATTTGACAAAATATTACTTCACTGGTTTCACTGTATGACGTTAAACACTTTGAACTGCCGTGTTGCTGAAACACAAACTTGGTTCGAAGAATCGGTGTTCAAAAGTTCAAATCTTCAGTGATTTGAAACTCGTCCTGTGGGACCAGTCGCAACAAATCAGATGAATCTGCAACCTGCTGAGTTCGTCTGCCTGAAAAACCAAAGATTCTGGATTTTAAAGTGTTTTTGGATTCATAGAAGTACTCTTCACTTCGAACAGTGAGACTGTTCCAAGAAGTCTGAATCTGCATACTTTACACAGAAGTGGAGTTAAGATGGGTTTTTTTCCATGCATAAGCAAATTAAACTGGAAGAAACTTTTGCTGAACTCTTGTGTAATACACATCCAGATGTGTTTTCTCCATTAAATAAATATTTGCCACGTGATTATTTAAGAAAATAAGACATTTAGTGAGTCTGCAGCAATAAAAGCAGCATTTAGGTCACTGTGTTTGGAACTGAAAAGGAATAAAAAAGGTGCACAGTAGTTATTTAAAGATGAACAGTTTGTATTTTAATACTATTTGTTTTGAGAATTTTCTTTTGTTCGTTTTTAATTTCTGCATTTCGAAAAAAATAAAAAACTAGCACATTTTTATGTCTGCTTTTAGTCTCGCTTCCAATACCAAACTGCAGACTGTTCTCAGATTACCATTTTATCTTATTTAGCTCCATTACTATTTTACATGCTTCTTAGTTTTGATGACTTTGATCATTATCACAAATTTTATGACAATTTCCCCAGAGGATTTATGCATTTAAAAAAATCCCCAATGAATCAGCAACATGATTAGTGCATTTAATCAACTTTTCTTAATAATAATCTAAATGTATTTAATCTTTATACAAGTTTAAGGCAACCAACTGTAATCTCTATGTTCAGCTTTTTTTTTTTAAAGAGAGACAAAAACAAATCAAATGTTAAAATTTATGATGGATTTTTACCAATTTCACAGAACCTTGTGTATAGCGCCCTCTGCTGGTGGTTGGTTAGAACACAAAAATATTAGGTTTTTATTAATTTTTTCAAAATTATTGTTAGAAGGTTCTTAAAATGAATTTTCTTCAGAATTTTGACTTTTTTCTCAAAATTAACATTTTGCTCAAAATTTATTTTTACACCTTATTTTTTTATTTCTCAGATCTCAAAATTCTGGGGGGAAAAAAACTATTTTTATCTCTAATCCTCTTCTGCAGTTTCCAAGTCTGCAGCTTTTTAAATTCAAAACCAACTTTTTTTATTGTTAATCTTGTGATTTTAAAAAATCCTTTCAAATATTACAGCAAACAACAAATCAGTCAGATTCCAAGAAAAACAATCAGACATAAATTCAGATTAGCATTTTTATTGTTTATATGTAATTTCTGCGCAAATATATGTTGGAGAAAGAAATAAACCATTTGGAAACTGAAAATTCAGTTCCAACTGTGTTTTCTATAAAATTTAAGTCAAACTAAATTAGTAATAATAAAATCCTTGGTTAGAATCACTGAACTGAAAAACAAAAGCTCAGGGAGGCGAGGTGTGTGCATAGCTTATAACAACCTCCAGAGGAAAAAAACTAAAATATTTAAATAGATGCTTTAAAAGAAAACAAAACGAGGCGGTGATGTAAACCCAAAGAGACTAAACTTTCAGTGGTTCATCCCCAAAACGTGAGAAAAACTAACGGTGCGATTCTTTAGCATGCGATGCTGGACAGACGAGCTGCACTGGACAGGAAACGAGGAAGAAACTGAACGGATCACAGAACAAGGATTAAAACCCAACTTTTCTGTAGAGTAGAAGATTTAACGGCTTCAGGGAGACTTACAAGTCATTTTTTAAATTCTAAAAATCAAAAGAAAAAAGAAAAAATCTTCACTTTTTAAACCTTTTGAAAAGATCATTTTGTTTTATGAGCTTTTGAACATTTTCTCACTTAGAAACGGTACAAGTGTGGGCTTTAAAGAATACTTTAGGGGCTTCTCACAATAAGAAAAAGTGGATTTTAATCCTCAAAACAAACTAAAAGTTTGTTATCATTTTCAGATAATTTGCAGGAAAAGAAGCGAAGAACCCGAACCAGCCAGCTGGTCCTGAACAATCACTTCCTTTCTGTTTGGAGCCATCAGTGACACATTTACTCCATCTTTCCTGTTTCAGTCACGTTTGAAAACGTCACAGTAAACACGTCGTCGCCCCACCAGGGGGCAGCAAAGAGCTGAACAGAAAATTCTTCAGACCAGACGTTTCTCTGCAAAGAAAAGCGACTCGTCCAGCCGAACAGAACCGATTTCTTCTGGTTAATCCTTCCTGGAAATGAAGCAGCGTGTGGAAAAAAACAAAACAAAAAACAAGCTGAATATTTCTCTCCTCACCATCATAAGCTCAAATCCTACGGCTGCTCTCATGATGCTTTCGGCTCATTAGAGAGAAAACTTAAAGGCACAGATTCCCCTGATCAACAGGGAGGACAACATCACCATTTATCCTCAACTTTTAGTGTTGAAGTGGGGGTTTCCCACTGGATCCAAGTATTTTTGATTCTGTTTCAGTGAAACGCTGCAACTCGGCTGTAAATCTGAACCCAAAACCAGCAGGATTACAGATTAGCCTTTTCAGAGGAACGTCACTGACATTTAGGAGAAATCGAAGACGCTGCCGAGTGTTTGAGGCCACAAAGAAAAGATTCAGATCAGGAGAAGTGATTCAAGCCTTTCCCCATTGATTCAAGTAGGTAATTAGTGGTAGGGCCATTGCAGATAGAAAAAAGGCTTTCTGCTGACAAAACTAACATCTTCTAATTTTTTGAAAGAAAATTTCTGAGTTTGAAAAGCTTAAAGCTTCCTAGAAAATAACAAATTTTGAGATTAAACTCAGAAACTTTTTAGAAAAAAAAAGAAAAAATTTAGATTAATCTCAAATAAACAATGAAACTTTATATTAAATTTTAAAAATAAAGTATTTTTCTCCAAAAAAAAAAAAAACACCTTAGAAATTTCTTAGATTTTTTCTCACAAATTTTTGTCTTTTGGAGTTCAGAAAGTTTCTTGTTTTTTCCAGAAACGTTTTGAGCCCATTCTAAAACTTGTTAATTTCTTTTCTACGATGGCCCTGATACTCTGCTGTAGGAAACATAGTGGCAACGTTTCGGCTGCAAGAAAAGCAACAAGGTTTCCTGACTGAAGGGAGGAGAAATCGATGGAAAAACGCTGAACTGTCAGTTTTAAATCTGCAGATTGAGCTTTTGTCAGCCCTCTGACGTTTCCCCTGATCGGGTCACAGAGCTGCACTCCTGATTTATTAAACACAAAAAAATCAGAGAAAGTTTTTCTGTCGACAGGAAACCAACAATTTTGGTGGCTGTTTGTTTCCTATTCTGTTAAACAGTCGATTGTTCCTCTCTTGAGCTTTTCTCATCTTATTTATCGTCTTTCACTTTTAACAACAAGCTGCAGACAAAATGGAGGATATCTGAAACCTCTGTACGTCTTCATTGGAAATCCCTGCAACATATTCACACACAGTGAGGAGCATTTTGTGCATTCCCTTCAATATCACAAAGATACAGCTTTAACAGAGCGCAGGCCAATGCTGCAACAAACTGGACATAAAGTGCAAACGGACGTAGGCTTTCCTCTCATGGCGTCAGACCAGCTGAAGCTCCAGTAAAACCAGTGAGACAGCAGGGGGCCAGTTAGTGGCTCTCGATCACCACCGGCTCGTAGCCGCCGGCAGAAACCCTGCAGACAAAAACAGAATGAGAATCTGTGAAGGAGCGGGTTAAAGCCCTGAAGTTTCTGCTGGAAAATTAAATCAAAAGAGGGAACGAAAAACAGAAAAAAAAAACATCCACATTCAACATTTTACAAGTCAGAAATACATACATTTCTCAGATGTCAGTTAATTTGAATGAGATTTTCTATTATTTTAGTCATTTTATTTATGAATGTATGCATGGAAGGACAAAAGAACTGATGGACAGACGGATGGACACTTACATATTTACGAAACACAAATAAACCAGAACAACTGAACCGAGAAGTTAAAGAAACTGCCATCTGTTCAGCTTTAGCAACGTAGCTCTAGCCGCAGAGCTCTAGCAATGTAGCTCTAGCCGGACAATTTTAGCCACAGAGCTCTAGCGACGTAGCTCTAGCCGGACAATTTTAGCCGCAGAGCTCTAGCAACGCAGCTCTAGCCGCAGAGCTCTAGCAACGTAGCTCTAGCCGCAGAGCTCTAGCAACGTAGCTCTAGCCGCAGAGCTCTAGCAACGCAGCTCTAGCCGCAGAGCTCTAGCAACGCAGCTCTAGCCGCAGAGCTCTAGCCTCATCTGCTTTCTGGTGGTTATGAAAGGAAAGTGTGACGAGTGGAGAGCAGGAAGTATCACCTGTTTCCCAGTCGGATGCTGCTGAGCGCCGTGGTTCCGTCTCTGTTGACGAACAGGCGCAGGTTGCTGTCTGGAGGCCAGAAACAGACAGAAACCAGCAGGGAAACTGAAATTAGCATACTTCAGTGCTCAGGCATTTCTAAAGCTTTCATTTCTCTCTGGTGAGGTTCTAATCTGTTGGGTCACTGAAGGTTGCAACCAACATGTTTTACACGCAAAGATGCATTTACAACCCAGCTAACGTGCTCAGACACCTAGAACAGTTTCCTAAAGTAAATACTGAAGTGAAAAGGTCATGATGAAGTTTTTTTAAACAGTTTTACAATTAAAAACATTCCATTTTTGGTGGCCATTTGTACTCAGTTCCCTTACTTTGATGCCCCTGAATAAAATCCAGTGAAACCAACTCTGGTTTCACTGGAAACCAGTTGGTTTCCAACTGGTCTTCATAGAAAAGTGACGAGGAAGAAGAGAGCGGACTTTTGCATAAACCTTTTCCCAATGATTTTCTTGGGATAAGTTCCAGATGTTTTCTTGAGAAAACAGAGAAACACTCCCTCTGTACCTTCGGTGTTGTTGATATCTGCAAAGTTTTGACTCTGGACAATTTTCTCCACGATGTCGTCGGCATCGATGCGGGTGTCGTTGACCCAGGTGGGGTGACTCTCCACCGAGTCCTGCTTCCTCCTGAAGTACAGAACAAACACCATGAGGCCGCAGCCGCTAGCAGCTGAGGTAGCGCCAACTGTATGAACACACGTAAAGGCATACCTGATCAAATAAGATGCTATAAATGTTTTTAGAGGAGAATTCAGCTTTTTGCAGGACATTCCACTGCCTATAGTGACACTGCAACGACTAACCAGATTAATCGTGATCTGGTTCACTAATTCAGTTAGTATTTGATAGTTTGGTTACAAATTATCAAGCGTAATCTAGAGGAAAGCCATGTTATTGTATTTTACACAATAAAAGGAGCTTTATTATTTGTTTATTCACATTTGTAATGTATTTCTAACATGTATATGAAAGTTTAAGTGGTTAAATACAAACTCTGCAGAATGTGCTAATTCTATCACAAAATTAATCGTTAGTTGCAGAACTAATTACATCTATAAACTTCCAGTATTTTGTGCATCTCTGCCTTATAAAGCAAATAAATGTCTTTCTTTTAACTGAACAAAAAAAAAAAAGACATTTTGGGAGGATTCACGTTCATCAAAGACGGCTTGTAGCAGCACTTAGGATTCACCATGGGAAAATCGTCCAATAAACGGAGTTAATTAAAACGTTAATTAAGCATTCCTTGTTTTATCTGCTTTTAGGACTCTCCTCTCAGTGTGTACCTCAGGGGTCGGTTTGGGGGCAGAACGGGCCGTGGGGGTCTTGGGGGTCTCTCCGGACGTCCTGTGTCCTTGTCGCCCTCTGCTGGCGGGTCGGCGGTGAAGCAGAGGCCTCCGGAGGCGCTGCTTCCTGTCGAGGTGTTCCTGCGATGCGTGAGATCCGACAGGCTGGAGGAGCAGGAGTGCTCGGTGCTGTAGCCTGCAGGACGGCAGAAGAAGAAATTAGGCCAGGACAGCAAACTTAACGGTTCAAGTTGATCTGGGTTTATTTTAAATTTTTTTGTTGTTAATCAAGATATAATACAATGTTGTTCACATTATAAACATCTTGCAAAATGTCTCAAATTTTTTTAGACATGTAAAAAATACATGAAAAAGCGCTGGAATATTTAATCTGTTTTTAATTTAGTGACATGGTGGTTTAATCACATTATTCTACACAGTGAGAAAGTAAAGAATTAAACTAATGTTCTGACAGCGTTAACACAATTTTTTTAATTTTATTTCTAATAATTGCTCAGTATTTTCTGTTTTGCATTCAGCATTTTCACTTCAGATTATGTTTCTCTTCATTTTTCCGTCTTCCATACATTTTTCTGTACTTACCGAGCTCTGCATACTTCGACCGAATTCAACAATTTATTTATCAAAACATTTTATGTTTTGGCTTTTAGGATTTTTGAGACATTTGTACTTTAATGCAAATCTCAGCTCCGTTGAAATGCACTGAAATTCTTCAGAATTCATCAAAAACTTTGTCTTTTGCAGCGTGCAAAGTTTGCCTACTTCAACCTAAATAAGAAAATAAACTTTTATTATCTAAAATGCAACAAAATAGATAGTTTCCCAGCCAGAGTAATTTCACTTTGTTATTTGTAGCATCCATGCTAAATACAACATTACGCTTGTTCAATGCTTGCTGACATTTCAACTTTACAGTTTGAAAATTGTATTTAATGTTTAGAAACACAAAAAAGTAGTGAAACATTTATTTGTGGATTTTGAAACGGTCTTTCAATAATTTGAAACTGATGATCAATCAAAGATGGAGTGGTATAGTTTACATATTTATACATTTAAATAAAAGTACTTTGTTTTTAGAAATTGAGCAGTTCGTTTTATTTTTATAATCCAGACCTTTTACACATTTTCTGCCTTTCAGACTCCACAGGACGATTCCAGGTTCTTCAGGAAGTCCAGTATTTACCAACAGAACCGAGGCGTCGGACCTGCTAGTGGGTTTCCTACCTGAGATTTTGCTCTGCTGGCTGGCGTAGCTGGAGTTACGAGAATGACCAGACTGGAAGACTTCTGTCGGACTGGACTGGTTCTGGTTGGGCTCGGAGTCGTCCAGCAGGCCTGAAGGAGCAAACGGATCAGTCAGCTCAGTGTGGGTAGGAACAACGAGCGATCAGCCTCAGGACTGCAGAACCAGACTGAGAACCGGCCCGGTTCTAACCAACTCGTTAAAATAATTACTCTGTTCACTATAAAACTTTAAGTACTGTTTGACTTCAACACAAGAAGGTTTCAATCTTAAACAGAGACAGTTTCCTCTTTATTTTCCACAACAAGCTAAAAAATCTTGTTCCAACTCCATTTTAAAGGTTTTTATGTCCTTTCTGCATCATTTTCAGATTTTAAATAATTTGGGGAAAGATGTTTTTAAATGTCTTCACTGACCTGGCATGCCTAAGAAACGCAAAAACGTATCTGTACGTGGAAATAAACCTTGTTTAAAAAATACACATACGCACATATGCATATATACACACAAAGAGAAATTTCTCTGCAAGCAGATCTAAAGTTAAACTTCCAAATACTGAGAAAAATAAAAACATGTTTTAGATTGAATGTGCAGTTACTGAAAAGTTTCAGATTAAATACATTCTTCAGTTTAGAAGCTGAAAATAATGAAAAGTTTAATGCAGCCACTCAGCCTGCCATGTATGGGACACTGATGATGCCTTTTCTCACCGTAAACAAAACATTTCTGCATCTTCGACCAAAGCTTTGTTTACATCAGGGTTATCATAGTTTTAGTTTAGTTTTATTTTGTTGTGACTTTTTGTTTGTGTGGCTGAGTTAATTTAAATTAGTTTTTGGAGTGTGTTTGTTAGTTTCTACTATAATCCATCGCTGTGCAGAAGAACAACGAGTCCAAAGACTGAGAGATAAACCTAAGACCTGCGTTGACAGATTTCAGTTTTTATCAGCCATTATTGGTCTAAAATTATTTAGTTTTGGATTAGGTTTATTAATGTTAGTCATAGTTTTTTCATCCTTTTTATCTTGTAGGTTGAGAATTCAAAAGGTCAAAGCATTGAGTTGTGATTATGTTTAAATTTATTTCGTCATAAATACTCAACAGAAGACACAATTTCCTGAAAATGTAGTAAATTATTGATGAACAATAACTGACTGCCGATTTAGTCCAACTTTTGCTTTTTGCTGACGCCATTTTACAGACGAGAGTTTACGGATTATTATTATGGATTATGGACACCTTTGCCGGCAGCTGACGTCAACTGATCAAAAAGTTAATAAATGGACTCAGACACAAAAATGAAGGATGTTATATCTATATTATGTTTTGGTTTGTTTTATAAATACATGCTATAGCTCTAGTTTTTCTCCATTAAACATTTCAGAAATGCTTTCTCAATTTCTGTTATTTTGCTGGCTGAGGTTAACTCTGATGACCTTTCAGTAACTATGCTTCTTCTCTACTGAACTCCATGTCAGAGTGAAACCTGGCTGAAAACAGCCGTTCCTCTGCTTTTTTGCTGAAACGTGAGGCTTTGAGGAGCGACTCCCACCCGAGCTGATGATGGAAGGCCGAGGCTTGGAGGCCCGGCCCAGAGAAACCCCTCCAGCTGGCCCGGTTCCCTCGGCCGTCCCCTCCCCCTTGCAGTCCAGCTGCAGGGTGTGTTCCCGTCCGGGGATGGAGATGGACTTTGCTGTGCTTGGAGCGCTGCAGAGGGGAAAAACAAAACAGCTTTATCAGCCTGGAACAGATTAAAGGAGCTGAGGGAGCTGCTGCGTTTGGCTGCGCCTCAACAGATACGAAGGAAAAAATGAGTCATTGTTTCAGCAAATGCTTCAGATTATACGCGTTTAAAAAGGAAAATCTGATTGTTGCCTTTAAATCCTGAAAAAAATACACAGTAGAAATGTCAGAAAACTGCATGTCTTCATTTTGATTCACTAAACTCACACTGGATCAGTTGTTACTGAGGTGTTCGACCAGAACAGACCCAGTAAGAACCAGAACCAGAAACCGTTTCTGCTCTTGAATAATTCAAAACAAACATCTGGACTGGTTTGATTCTTCAACTGGATTCACAGGCTGACTGATGCCTTGGTGTTTCAATAAACAAAATGCGTTTCTGAGAGAGAAACAAGCAACGTAAGTTTAATTTCAGGTAAATTCTTGTTAGTAACTGTAAAACCATAAAAACATAAAATTTGCAGGTTATTTTCCGCAGGCGCCTGATGTAATCTGAGATCAGATTAACGAAGGCCGTCAGCAGAACCAACAAGTTCTGTAAAAGCTTTAGATACACATGGAGGGGTAACAGTAAAATAACACTTAAATGGACTCAAGGACTTTAAAATGTTAATTTAAAAAGTAGCAGGAAGGATTTGTATCATTATTCAGAGTCTCTTCAGAGAAGAACTGAATTCATGCTCCTACTTACGTTTTGAAGCACGGATCTCCAGAAAGAAGAGTCATTCCGATGATCACCTGTAAGGTGCAAAAACGTAACAAAAAACAACGACTCAGTTGAAGAAACTTCTTCCATTTCACTTTCCTGACATCATAAAAGTTGTTTTTCAGTCATTTTTTTCAAACATCAGTTCATGTGGTTTTGTGTAGAGCAGAAGTTTGTTTCTTAGAGGACAAAACGGTCCAGTCAAAGAAAGTGAAACTGCAGAATAAACCTGAATATGCATTAAGCTCATGTGACTGGACTGACTTTAGAGCAGAGTGTACTGGTGATCTCTAGGTGGCGCTGCAGAGCCCCAGACTCCTCCCTGAATGGATGGAGACCATATAACTACTTCAAGACAATTTCTGGTTTTCATCCTACAGACTATTGTAGCATGAGGAATTTAAACTAATTTAAAATCTATTAAAGACTAAAATGAACAATACAAACGTTTTCTGACTAGTTTTAGATTGATGCTGAATGATAAAAAAATAAAATAAAAATATTTAAAGGTGGAAAAACAACTTGCTGATGCAGGAAAATCATTTCTCTGCCATCATTGGAGGATATGCTAACTAGCATTAGCATCCATGGAACCAGTTGTGGTAGGAGGAGGTGAGCGTGAGTGATTGACAGCGCTAAGACCCTCCTCCTGCCTCTGATTGGTTGTTTCTGACTGCGTCGTATATTTCTGTAGTTAGTACTGGGAACACCGGGAGAAGATAAAGATGCTTGATTTTTTTTAATCAATCATCTGTCATGACATAATTTTAACAAATACTTACATTTTGTAATAAAAGTTACGTATTGCAGCTTTAGCAGACGTGGTTTAACACATAAAGTCCCAAAGAATCTTGCCAAGGCATTTTATCTTTATAATCAGGCATGTTCAGGCCCTCCAAATAAAAAAAAAACCTTAGGAAACCAGTCCAGATTGAGCTCTGTCATCAGTTTGACATGGTAGAGATTAAACTGGTTCCTGTTCAAACTGGTGACTATCAACGAGGCCGTAATGTTTTATACATGCTCGGTTTTCATGCTGTCCGTCCGCCATCTTGCCTTCAGGATGGAGTTGTCCTGCCGCGTGTTCTTGGTGTCGTATCCCTCCAGCAGACAGCAGCGCACCGTGGAGCCAGAACCGGCGAACTCGGCCATGTTGAGGTCTGTGAAGCCCAGCTGAGGAGGGGGAAGAGGAGTTTGGACTCGGTTAAATCTAGATTCACTAATGGAGGCTTTCGCTGCCATCTATTTCAGGCACATGGTGAGAAAACGGGAGAATCCTGTGACACCCAGTGTTTAGCAGCCAGAGTAATTTCACTTCGTTAACAGCAACGCTTCTAGTTTTAGCTTATGACAGGGAGCGAAAAGAACCACGTCAGCTTATTTTTAACCTTGAAGATGTCTTTAAAAGGTGGAACTTTGTCATTTTTTATGTTAAATCTGGAATTAAATAGGAACACGTTACTTTTCTGCTCAGACTAAGTGAAGAGACTAATTTCCTTTCAAAGCATTTCCAGTGTCTGGTTTGTATAACATAATCTGATGAAAGCCTGAAGCAGTGAGGACAGTGTCTGTCATCTTGTATTTAATCTACAGTAGAAGAAGAAAAGCAGCTGTTGGAGTGAGTCACGACTCGATATGTCGCTTCTATATGAAATTTAAAACATTCATAATGAAAAAGTAACAGTTGTGTCAGGTTATATTTTGACTCGAGCTCAAATTCTTGTTTGAGCATTAGCAATATCAATAAAATAACCAACTTACTGGATATAAAGAGGATTTCATTCCTTAAGTGCCAAGTAAATCTAATTAGCATCATACCCACATTTATAATAATGTAGGTGCAAAATTCTAATTAATTTCACATCTCATTGACCCAAAAAATAAAAAAATGAATAAACACAAGTAATGTTTCGATACAACTGGATGTAAAATTAGGGATTAAGAGATAAAACTGGCTCAGAAAACATATTTAATTATCAGCCCAGTTTTACTTAAATCAATATCGGTAGGTTAAAACAAATTACGAACATGATGCTGATATATCTTGGCCTACTAAAAAAACTTAAGATAAGTCTTATAAAAATGTTAATTTCACAGCCCAGTTTTCATCCCGATGATAAAGCAGGAGACTCCGACCCGATCTGCTCCTCCACATCAAACTGCCGGATAAATCCTGCCCTGTCAAAGTTCTCACGAGCCAAGAATGTGAAGCTTGCTGCTCAGTTTAAAACCTCTGAAGTGTAGGTCAGGCGTTTCTAAATTCCAGCGTTGACACAAATACCCCAGATAAGACGACCTTAACATGCTCGACCTTAACATGCCAGGTGGAATCGACCCGTTTTCCACGCTGTGCGTTCTGTTTTTTCCCCCCAATCAACTGGGCTAAAGTTGATGGTTCCCATTCTTCATCCCCCAGGTTTCCCCTTCTTTAGCAGAGCTTCTGTTTTCATAGGTGCAACCTCTAAGGGGGGAAGTGGAGTAAATTTAACTAAAGGAAATCCAAAAGGAGAATGGGCAGAAACAGAGGAAGCGGTTCCTGTCGTGCAACATCGTCCAGGAATCGGCGTGAGTTCAGGTCCAGGCGGGGATCGACCTTGCTGCATTCATGAGACGCGACTCATCTGTTGGGAGGCGTCACGCTCAGAGAGGAGCTGCCAGGATGTTTTCCCAGCATCCAGGCAAGCGTGAGTCCAAGGCGGACAGGTTTTTGATTCATGTTTGCACCCAGCAGGAGGTTTTACTCGTGAAAGCGCAGCGAGAAATGCTAATATTTACGTGACATGACATAAAGGTTTACAGGAGGGGACACGGGCCCATCTGTAACTGTTTCTATACGTTTATAGAAGGCAGACAGAAACTCTTACCTTCGAATATGCTTTTCCTCCTTTCAGTTCCTGCAGGGAAAACAGGAAGACAGTAATGAACCCAGTGATTCAGTTCTGATTAAGTCAGCCTCCCATTACAGGCCTTCAATCAAATCAAAGGCTGAGACCACACATGCACGCGCACACACACACGACTCCTGCTGTGGTGTTTAATGAGCAAGTTGAAAGATTTAGCATCTGCTTTAAAATGTCTCTGAAACTTTTGCCTAAATAGATCCAAACCTGCTGTTACCGACTGAAAGTCAACACAATGCTCCAGCAGACCGAGCAGCAGAACATCTACCACAAAACTCCTGACTGTTTCTGCCGTAGGCAAGACAGGAACGAGATGGATAAGTAATAGGATAAAAATGGAGCAAAACAAGAAAAAGTGTAATTAAGTGAATATAGAAGTAAGGAGGTCAGATGATGAATATATCAGTAAATCCGTTTGTAATGGATGTACAAACGGATGGATGGATGTATTTTTTATGCCATGTCTTTGGTAAAATATTTGGGAGAAACAACTATGTATCCAAATAAATAGAAAAGCGTAAACAGGAAACCTGAACACATTCCTGCAAAACCCTGGTAGTATTTAAACACCAGATTTTTATCCACACGCACATATATGATGTACAAATCCACAGCACAATGTGTAATCTAGCTTGGCTCAGCTAGCTGCCCATAACATCGTCCCTCAGTCCATATTAAAACTGATGTGATTCTCCCTCTAAAGCAAAACACCAGGTGAGAAATCGTCTCCCGCTTGACGTCGTACCTTCCTGACGGACACCCTGCAGACGGACGGATCCAGCACCCCGGTGTGAGGGTTGGCGCTCATTTTTGACACAAAGGTGAACCTCTTTCTCCAGCGGACACAGTTCTCATGAACTTCCTCTCTGTCAGAAAAGAAAAAGAACAAAAACGGTTTAGGAACTGTTTTCAGCACATCTCTTCTATCTCCATCAAACAAACACGAACACTTAAATTATTCCTGTAATCGCCAGCGGGTCAGTGACTCCCCTCCGGGAATAATCAGGAGGTTAACTGGAAAATTAAGCTATGATGGAGCTGAGACCAGCAGCTCATAAACATATAGTTTATTATTCAAAACACTAAAAAGTGGAGATTTGCGACCTTGTGGCCTTTGTCTTGGATCCGGTGTACACTGATTTGTACAATCCTCGTGAGAAAAGCCTGTGAGCAACAGTATTTCATCATGATAGCCAGGAAGTGGTCAATCTGTGTGACAACAAACCTCCTTCCTGAAAACAACAACCAATCTGATCAGCAGGTCCTGCAAACCACTGCAGCAGCTTTGGATCCTTACGAGCAGAGTGGAAAATGTGAAGTGGAACAACACGGAAATTTGATTTTCTGCCACCTGATATCTTCAAAGCAAGAAAAACCTTCATTTCTGGAAACCTGGTGTTTACTCAGCTTAACCTAAACCTTTAAAGCCAAACCAGGAGAAAACGTGTTTTAATTAGTAGTGACTCCACATGCTTACAGCTGTAAACTAATCCTTTACACAAAGTGAAAACACACATTAAGGAAAAAACAAAGAGTTGAACAGAACTAAATCAAACTACAGAAAATTAATGTTATCACATTTAGTAGATTTAGTAGAGGCAAAACAACTAAAATCCTAAGATAATTTAATGTCCCTAGAATATTATATTGAAAACAATGGGAAACACCCCAATGCTCAATTACAAATCCTAGGAAAGTGGATTTCCTTGGACAGATAAACTAATTAACATTAGTTTATCTGTTTAGAACCAAGCCACAACAAATCTAATTTCACATTGCAGAAGCCAAACAGAATCTATAAATCACCAATTACACAATAACAATCCAATAATATTCAGTTGACCTCCAGTATTCATAAAGGTTAAAGAAGGACAGTGGATCATGAATAGCTGAAAATCTCTCTAAAATACTAATAACTTCAAAGAAAATATTCAAAAGATAAATAAGTATAAATGTAACCTAATTTTGGCCAATAAAACCATCTGAAATCATCAAACTATCAGCTAACTCAAATAATATACAACTAAGAATCGTTTTATGCATTTACTTTCCAAATTTATTTAGTTCATCATATGCATTTTATTTATTTTTATACATTTTCTTTATTAATATAAAGTGAAATATTGTTTCTCAAACTACATCGAATTAATATCTGCTTAGATTTTTAGCTTTCATTTTTCCACAAATGAAGCCGCTCACATCGAATACGATCAGATACTTGAAAAAAATATAAATAAATGACAGGAAATTTTGCAGAAAAAAACAAAATCACGATACTGAAATGTCTACAGACTGCTGCTGGTTACTCACCACAAGCAAAATTGTAACCACACCATGTTGATTTAATTTAGTTCATTTTTAGTCCAAATTTTCAGATAAATGGGGAACATTGTACATGCACGTGACAGATTGCAACCTTTTGAATGACTAACTACGTTCACACAACAGACAAATGCAATACAAATCCGCTGGGGGTTTTTCTGTACCCGACTTTTCCATGGCAAATCTGATTTGCATCCCACTGTTTTTAAAGTGTTGTGCTGCATTTCGCCTGACTTTTATGTCATGAAGTGAGAGACGCATCATAATTCTACACCAGAAAAATGCGGTAAATTTGGACGTAAACAACGTCTGAAAATTATAATTATGAACTTGTAAGACGTTTGTGTCATTGCAGCACATCACACCATAATCTAACCACTGTTGGGTCTGACTTCACATCCAAACAGACTTCTCTGCAGACGCTGCAGTCAGTGCTCTACAAAATGCCGTTAGGAGTTGCGATTTCTTTTTCTTAGCTTCCTCCTACTTGTTATGATCTTGTGACGATGCTGTTGGCTGCCATTGCTGAATAACTTTGAAATCAATCTATAAATGCCTCCATCCATCAGTACTTTTGTAAACAATACGCTGCTGTGTGACGTCAACGTTCTTCTTCTGTGCTTTTGAGCCGCTTTGGGGATGTAAACAGTTCTCACAGAAATCTGATTGCTGCTGGGTTTAATTAGTAATGTGATCAACCATGAATAAAACAACCAGATTTCAGCAAAAATGTGGTAACTGAGCATTAAGACGTGCCGGGTGAGACCTCGTCCTGTCGAGGTTCTTCTATTGAAAGTTGTTATGAACAGGCTGAGCAGCAGCAGCTGCTCTAAACACACCCTTCCCCCCTTCAAGTTATTCATTATCCCCAAAGCTCTCCAACAACATGCACTGATTTTTACCTCATTTCTGCTCTTTCCTCACTTTTTAACCAGTTGGAGTCATGCATCACAGCTGAATCATGAGCTGCATTTAAATGCCTTAGACTTTATAGGAGCAGATCTGTCAATGAGAAGGGAAGATTTTACCCATAAAAACTGTTTTGCACGTCTGGTTTTCACGTTACAGACGGTTCACTGAGGAACCCGACTTGAGGAAATGTACTCCAGGTTACCGTCGTCTCAGCCTGCCAGAGGAAGGAAACGTAATCATGATAGGATATAGGCTTATTTTTGTCTTTCAGTTCTTTTAATTGTTTTCTGGAGGTATGGCTTTCTAAGAGCACATGCTTTTGTCATTTAAAAAGATCCAGAAGCTTTTTCAACCTTAATTTTTAAATGAAATGAACTAAAGTCTTGGTATACACAAATTAAAACCAAACTAAGCCCAAAAACAAAAGCTCAAATCTAAGACAAAAGCACGTGCAATTTCCCTCATTTGGGAGGCTGGTTGATGAGTCGTTGTTCCAGGGAAATGAGCGAGTTTCTGAGAAGACGTTAAAACCCAACAGCACACCCACAAAAACATGTGTGGGGGTCTTATCAGGACCCCCATGCTTTCACTCCTCCGCAGCGTGTACGCCAGAGCGATCCCGAACCACATTCCTCAGTCCAGATGGCTTTGTTCAGGCTCCATGGAAACCTCACGCTGCAATCTATCGACGAGCTGCCAGCAGCTCTGAGGAAGAGGAGGAGACTCTTTATTTTTCAACTGTTTGCCACCCTTAATTCTGCTCTCTGCTTTTAACCGAGTAGATTGTGGTGAAACATTTACCAGCAGTTGTGCAGTCAGAGGTTTAAGGTGAATCTGGCCTCAGATCTCAATGGTTAACGGTGACCTACAACACTTCTTTGAACAGGTTGAGAAACGTCTATGGTTATACCGAACATATTTGTTAAATTTTTTTTGCACATCAATCATTCTTGGATAATGTGATTTTAGTCTGATCAGATCAGAATGAGCTGTTTAAGGGCCTCTTGTTACTTTAAATCCAAATTTGCTCCTGCTGACCACGCCCACAACTCAACGTTTACACTCACATGCAAAAATGGCTGCAAGCAGATATGCAATCATACAACTGTAAATCTTTGAGAAGCAGAAATGGAGCCTCCTGTACAACAAACAAGAATGCAACAAGTGGTTTCTAAATGGTAAGTCAATAAAAACACCCATCTTTTCCAGCAGCCATTGTACAGCGAATGCAGTGATAAAACCAGCTGGCCAAACATGTTGGAGCTGGGTAGCAGCAGAGCTCTGCTGGAGTTGGTAGGTAACGGGCAGTACCTGCTGATTTGTGATGTTACATTCAGGAAGTTTTTGAAATGGCTCATTTTTTAGACTTCATAAAACATTAACTTGTTGCCAAAAGCAGTCTGGTGTATGTTTTAAGCGCTTGGTCTGTTTTATGAGCATTTGAATCCCAAATGGAAGGACAAAAATGTGAATTTTGCCTAATGGAACAGTTAATGGTTGTTGTGGAGACTTGGCATCTCCAAGATCCTCTAGTTCCTCCACAATGCGCTTCTGAGATTTGTTTTAGCTGCCTTATTCTCCTCCAACTGTGTGGAGTGCCAAGTTAAATATGAGTCCTTGTCCAGTTAGAGACAAGAAACTGACCTCTGTGTCACACCACATTTATACCCCTGGGAAACAAGAAGTTATGTTTAACCAGTCTGTAGTTCCTAGAAACTCTGATTAACTTTAGAAAAAGTAAATTATGATATCAGTTACTGTGCCAACAGGAATTTAGCTGATGCTTTCTCCCCATGAAACGAAACAAAACGACTGACACTAAAGCTTGAATTATTCAAACATTTCTTGTGAAATTATACTACTGCAATAAAAGCTTAACAAATCGTAGCTGCATGTTTAGCTTTTTGTATACTGTATAAAGTGTATTAATTCAAATACCAGAAACACCGCATTTAAAAATACAATACAAATTTGTCAGTGAAGTGAAACAAATACTTAATGTGTTGTTTCTTTTTCAGTTTCTACAGTTTTCTCCATCAGCGCAGATTCAGACAAATTCTTAAAGATTATTACTTGCTCCACTGATTATGTGGTTTAACCTAACCCTTAATACCAAAGTTATGAAAAGTAATTTCAATTTTTCCAGCTAGAAAACGGCGGTGAATGAACAAGTACTTCTGCACTGGACTAATTTATTCAGCATCATCGTGTTGCTTTGACTGTAAGAAGCAATTACATATTTAATTGGTAGATTTAAATCCAGGTTTTTCCCCTCATGGTTGTCTTTTATGTTGACTGTGGGGTTAATCACTGAGGAAGAGGAAGAGGGAGGACTTCCTCAGTCCGTCATGAAAATATGGAAATGGAAATTCCCTTTAATGAGTAATTTAGGAAAGCAAATCAGAACTGCAGCGGTGAGTGAGCTCCAACTCATCAAAACAAAAATATTTATAGAAGTAAATTTAACTGAAAGCAAAAAAACAAAATGATTTGAGGCAACTGTTTATTTTGAGAGATAACATAATAATAGCAATGTTGGGAGAACAGTGAAGAAGGACAAGGTTTGACATGCAACTAATTTATTTTGTAAAGAATCTTTTGGCTTTTGCTGAACCGTAATTAGTCAGGAAGT